TTTCTGTTAGTGTTCATTAGATTCATCATAATTTCTATTTCGTTTCCTAGAAGAATTGTGTTGGTCGGAGTATATCTATGCGACTGCCCCAAGTGAATTCTTCTTGTTAACTGAATTACTTTCGCCTGCGCAATGCATCAACTTATATAATAGGAATGATAAGAGATTGACCTAGATTTAAATTGCAACGTATGACTCATATATTAGAGACTACCTCTTCACTAATAAACGATAACGGAATCAAAAGTCAGAAAAGCAAATCGATGCGGTGAATCTTTCATATGAACAAATTCTCATAGGGAACCTCCATCAACCTGGTTTTATACCTTGTGATATGATACATTTAAACATGCTGATATGCAAGCGAGGAAAAAAATGTGATCGCAGGTGGTGCTGTGGGTGGCAATTCCGTCTCAGCTGGAGAGAGGGGAAACAACGAGAGTGATGACGGTGTTGTTGATAATGTTCCTCTTCCAATACCTCCCCAAGATCTACCACTTCGTATGCCTCCTACGCCGCATGCAAAACTTGTCCGGCTACATCTTCGGCACTGTTTGGTGGGGGATTGCTCTCAACATGATCGCCTATTTTGTTGCATCCCATGTAAGTTTACTTTTTTCTATGTCTCTCTCCTTAATCATTTATTGATTAATTAGAAGCATATCCTTTCTTCCCCGTGAAAGCTCTAACCCTTTTGGCACCTAAAATGTCCCATCTTGTTTTATCACTTTAAGGACGGAATGTAAGGATGGCCAAAAAGAAAAAGGAAGGAATGTTGGGATAAAATGTGGAGTCTCTATACGTGCCTGCGAAGCTGGAACACAAAGATCTTCTTTTTCTTCCTTTCGCCCAAGGGAAAACAAGGATCTCAAATTCTTCTTTTTCAAAAAAGTTTATGCCCCTCTTTCCAATCATGAACACCCGGATGTTATCTTTGAACTTGGGGGACTTCAATTGACAAAAAAGAAGAAAGAGCTTGCTTTAACATTTGCACAAACGACAAAAAATCAAGAAAAAGACAATATAAGTAATTCGCAAGTTCAAATTTTCAACAAGGTGGGGGTGAAAACTATAGGAACTTGTCACAACAGTGATCCATGTGAGGGCTAAATAGTCTTCTTTGTTGGTGGGATGAATTTAAAGAGAGATAAGATAACGCTTGAACCTTCTATTCTAAGGAGAGAGGACATTCGTGTATTGAATGCAATAGCCGGCCCTACTAAAAGACATCTTTTTCCATATATCTGATTGATTTTGTCTTCTTTGTTTTTATTTTGTCATAAAGGTTGTCAATTTCCAATGGGTATTGCAAATTTCTCGCTGCCTGAGATGAGCTGTGATAGGGATGCTGCATTAAGGTCTAGTGTTGCTTAGCAAATGATGTGAAAGTGTCGGCAATTGTATTTACTAGGTGATAAGAAACATTTAAGCCCCTCATCATCCTGCTATTAACTAATGGAGACTTGCAAACGGATCACGGAAGTAGTCATTCATCAGTTGGTAACTGGGAAATTCATGTCATGACTTGATTAGGCAGCGGGAGCATGCTGGTACTTACTAGGGATCCAAAGAGCAGCAAAATGCCTGAGGGAGCAATGTAGATCAACGGATGGGTGCTTCCCGAGGGTGCTGGCATGCAAAGAGCCGATCTACTATGGAACCACCACCATGGTCCGAGACCGAGCCAGACTCGCTTGGGGTGAGAACCGGCAGGCCCGTTCCATGTGCTTGGTCTCCTCCGATAACTATGACTATGGCGCTTATAAGTGGACCGTCCAACTTGTCACCAATGACAGTCGCTTGGAGAAGATCCTGTTCCCCATCTTTTGGGGCTTAATGACTTTGAGGTAAACATAACTACTCTCTCTTTGATTGTTGTTGATGAACAAATAAAGGGTCACCACAATAATGAAAGTCATGTGATGGTTCACAAATTTTTTATGCCTGGCATGCTAATCTCGCGTGATCAGTAAAGTAGTGTCGATTACATTTACCACGTTATCAAGTCTTACGAATCTATTTTCCTGGCAGTGAAGGGAGTCAGAAATCAGTGATCTCCACTGAAATGTATATAACAATACAATAATACCATGGACACAAGCAAGTAAAATATTCGTGATTAACATAAGTGTGCCTATTGCATGAAACTCTTAACTGCTGTGCCGCATCACATGGCCTTTATGCCTTAAACTTGCGTTGATTTTTGTTTGATGTGCAGCACTTTCGGGAACTTGGAAAGCACAACAGAATGGCTAGAAGTTGTCTTCAACATAATTGTCCTGACCAGTGGCCTTCTCTTGGTCACCATGTTGATTGGAAACATCAAGGTAACTCTACATTTACACATGCTAATTAACTTTCCCCGTGACATCAACTTGTTCAAAAGAGACCAAATGACACTCCATAACATCAATTATAATCATCTCGGACGATATTGATATGCATCCGGAAAAAAGTTGCATGTCATATCGGACAACCGATTCCTGATATGATGAAAGTAAAATTTAATTTCAAGAGCGTTCGTGCACCCATGTCATTAAATCTTATGCTAGCGGCTTATCGTGGAATGCCATCTTAAATTATCAGTCCTCAAAATATATGAATGGATCAATGACAGCATCCAATTCATCTAGTCTTATCCTAATGTAGGTGCTAGGCAATTTAGGCAATCAATCTCAATATTTTCCATTGCTTGTTGGGCCCACCATTTGGTCAATAATACTGTGAATAAGCACATCAAATGGAATCATCTTTAAGCTTTTTAACTTGGGCTATGCAGCCCTTGGATCAAATCGAGCGTGAAGGCCAATAATGGTGATGCAAGCAATCAATCTCTGTCAACAATTTATGGACCCACCCTAGATCATTAGGCACCCAACGAATCACTAATCTAATGATCACGGTTTCCCAATCATGCTTCAAAGCTCACCGTACTCTGGGATCCCGCGTCCGACTTTCCCTGTATTGCTGAGGAAAATTGTGAGATTGATTGGTTGAATTGCCCAGCACTGAGCACTTCTCACTATTCCTCATGTGAATTGCTATATGACTATTCATTTTGCAATTGCATTAGTTCATTGCAATTGTGAATTGAAATCATAAAGCCGATGAGGGATCGATGAGATGACTTTTCACGAGAAATAATTGTCGGTAATATATGAATCGATTACTTAAAAGCCTCATAGACTTCATAAACTCCAAATCCGAGCAATTCTACAACCGCGACATGGCATTTGTTAGAAATTAACATTGGTTTTTGTTGAGTAGGTCGAATTCTGAAGAACATAGATATAAGATCAAATCTCATGACTTAAAAGAGATGGAATTGTGTGTATGTACACACCAAGTCGTCTGATCCACATCTTTCTTTTTCACAAATTCGAATTATGCCTCTTCTTCCATGACTGTGGCCGCATGTTTTTGGTGCTATACGGAAGGTGTTTCTACATGCAACGACGTCGAAGAAGCAGGCGATGCAACTGAAGATGAGGAACATAGAGTGGTGGATGAGGAAGAGGCACCTCCCTCAAGGGTTCCGGCAGAGAGTGCGCAACTACGAGCGGCAGCACTGGGCAGCCATGCGTGGCGTAAACGAGTGCGAGATGATCCGGAACTTGCCAGAGGGCCTCCGGAGGGACATCAAGTACCACCTTTGTCTGGACTTGGTCAGACAGGTAACATCAATTCTTTTTTTTTTTTCATGCTGTCGTACGCCACATTTCATGCAATACATAAGAATCTTCCCAAGCTAGACCCACCATATTTGCCCCTTGTGGATCCACCCTTTGGCGTTTTCAAGACTACCACGTGAAGCTATAATAAAGTTTTACTCACATCACATCAACTCATTACATATTTTCCCGAATCAAGTCACCAATTTGGTGGCATTCGGTTCCTATTTCAAGAATAGGCTAGGGCTTGATATAGGAACCACAGAAAAAGATGACCCCGTACTTCTTTTCAAACACTCAAAACTGATTGATCAACTCATGAACAACATAAAGCTACAACCAAAATCAACGTGAATAGCGCATTAAATAGTTCTTACAGTAAAAGATTACAACGAATATAACAAAAAAAGACTAAGGATGGAAAAGCTCTCTTGAATTAGATGAAGAGTCCATTAGAATTCTCGAGTGATCTACTGTTTCCATGCAAAGCTTAACGTGTGTCACATCTGGCCTAACCCAATCTTTACTCCAATTCTGGCCGAAAAACCTAAAATGAAGATCTTGCACTCCAATCTTGAAACAATTAATTTAAGCCCAATTAGTATCTACCTTTTTCTCAGTTTATGGGCTGCTTCATTGTGCTTCAAGCTAGCCCACATGAATACTAATGGAGTCCGAGATTTCCGGCACTAGTAATTAACATCGATCAATCTTAATATATCTAGCATTACTCCCGGCAAACTGTGTCGACACGAGTAGGAGATCCTTCGACTCCATGTACTCGCATGTGAATCGGACCGGCTTGAAGCACAAGGAAGAAAGCCCATAAAATTATTAAAGGTTGGTACTTATTGGGCCTAAATTAATTGTTTAAAGATTGGAGCAAAGATATAGACAGACCCAACTCCACAAAGCTCTGAGTCATGAGCCCTTATGTAGATGTAGGGAAACAGGTCATGATAATTTCAATTCTAACCGAAGTTTCTTTTCCCACCACTTAATGCATCAAATGTAAGATTAACTAGTTCATTTCGCTTCTCATGTAGCATCTCTTGACATATATTTCATGTTGTATACTTAATTTTCAGGTGCCACTTTTCCAACACATGGATGATTTAGTCCTCGAGAACATTTGCGATCGTGTGAAATCGCTTATATTCACGAAGGGAGAGACTGTGAGTGCCTAATTGATAAAGTTCTTTCTTTCAATGTAGTTTTCATCCTTACCTGCATTATCATTGTCTACATTGATTTTTTAATTCGACACAGTTTTTTCTTTTGATAAGAAAGAAAAAAAACGCTCGCACGCATAAGACTTCTCATGGAATCTCTAGAAAAATCTGCGCTATTTCAAGTGCTTCATTGTAATAAATAAATCTCATTTACATTGTCAAGTGTCTTGAAAGTAAGTTATTGCGAAGATCTACTTTTTGCCCACCATCATAGAGAACTTTTTAAATCTCTACCGACTGTTTGATTGAAGTCCGGGAGACAGAATGATTGCACATGCAAACCCTAACTCCCTTTCTTTGATTGTCATGCATGGTGCAGATAACAAGAGAAGGAGACCCAGTCCAACGGATGCTCTTCGTAGTGAGAGGCCACCTCCAAAGCAGCCAAGTCCTCCGCGATGGCGTCAAAAGTTGCTGCATGCTTGGCCCGGGCAACTTCAGTGGCGACGAGCTCCTCTCGTGGTGCCTCCGGCGGCCTTTCATCGAGCGCTTACCGCCCTCTTCCTCGACACTAGTCACCCTCGAGACCACCGAGGCGTTTGGGCTCGAGGCCGAGGATGTGAAGTACGTGACGCAGCACTTCCGGTACACGTTCGTGAACGAGAGAGTGAAGCGGAGCGCGCGGTACTACTCGCCCGGGTGGAGGACATGGGCCGCTGTGGCAATCCAGCTCGCGTGGAGAAGGTATAAGCACCGTCTGACGCTGACGTCGCTATCGTTCATACGGCCGAGGAGGCCACTGTCGCGGTGCTCTTCGCTAGGGGAGGATAGGCTCCGGCTGTACACGGCTTTGTTGACATCTCCGAAGCCGAACCAAGATGATTTTGACTTTTGATGAAACGCTTAAAATAAGTTACAATAATAATGTTATGCTGCGCTTTCATTTGTTAACTACTTACATAGATCTCTAATTGATCTTCACCATATGCCCAAGTAGGGAGGATATATAAAGATTGGACATCAAAATTATGAAAACTAAAAAATGATCGAACACATCATCAAGCTGTGACAACACTAGTCTCTAAGGCCGTCGTGAACTGGTTAGGCTCAGCCTCTGGTCCGGATGAACCCCTGAAGAGTAAGATTGCGAGGCTTCCAACGCAGAAGTAAATGAAGCAGCCAGAGCAGTGGGTCACGAATGAACCAAAATCTGTCCCCACTATGCATTGCCATCCTCCTCCATATGTCCTGTCAAATTCCTGTGTAGCACACAAGAAGAAAACCTCAAAACAATTACCTAACAAGCTAAGGGGTCGTATATAAGAGTTAAAGATTTTCGATGATACCTTTTTGATGAAGCGCGCGATGTCCGTGGGTTCAGTGACGTCGAAGGAGTCGAGCGCCTTGGATGCCAAATTGAGAGCTTCCTGCTGCATCGCCTGGAGCATGTCGGTCTCACGGACGACAGCCTTCCCTTCTAGCATATCTGAAAACCTAATAACGCCAGAAAAGTATTCAGGAAAAGATACACTCACTTCGGGGACGATTTAGAATTGAGAGATGAGTAACTGAGGAGGGTGATTAATATTATAAGGGAGGAAGAAGGAGTGCCAGAGAAGCTAGAATACAAGTAGATGTGAGGAGATGTGGATGATGTTGAAGAATTGTGGCTGAAGAGGGGGAGGGAATAATACTATTGGCATTTGATCAGATGGGGAATAAAGAAAGGGGTGTGTGGTGGAGAATCCCTTGGTGTGTGGTGGTAAACTGATGCATCTGCTGCAGGGGTTGTGAGCCTTTGAATCGATCAGTTTGTCAACATGTGCAGATAAAGCCATTCCAGAGTTCGGGTTGGTCGCTTGAGAGAGAGCTGGTGGGCTCTTGCAATGCCAGGATCCCTTTGGCACTAGATCCACCGCTATCATGTCCATGCCCTCTCGAGGGCAACTTGATATGTATTATAACTTTTGTCAGTTTATTATTAGAATTGAAATCTATGAATTTTACATGAGATTCTTATATCCCGTCTCTCTTAAGATAAGTGTTGCAAATCTTTTTGTATCTCACTCCGAATTTAGGTTTTCGAATCTTTCGCTGGAGGAGTGTTCCGTCTTCTGCGTGTTGATAACGAGGATGATGCAGTCAAATCGGGGATTAAGAAATGAATGGACGTCTACGATACCTAGTTTTAATCAGATACGATTTGAAGGACTTTATAGATACATTGACGAGGGTAAACATAAGAACTTTATGAGGTTTAAGATATTTTCCAAAGTAATAATTCTGTCGAGTCCAATCACAATTTTATATTTAAGAAAAAAAGAAAACAACATGATTAGTGCCCGGCTCATATTCGTCATGCCTCGTCTCTCCCTCTCTCCCTGTCATTGAGTTTTGGTTGAACCCTCTCAACTGGCATTGACGTAGTGGATGAGTCGAGGAGTAGAGAGAGAGATACGCAAGGGAGAAAAGAGACGGAACGTGCGTTTTTTACCCATGTACATTTTATGTAAAAATGCCATCCCGACACCTTTTGAAGAGGTCCTTGTCTAAAGTCAAGTGAATCTAATGTCTACCTAACTTTTCGCAATTTGTACATTCAATATGCATTTAGGGGTATTGATGAAACATCTCTCCCTCTCTAAACAAAGGGGGGAGAGAGTCACTTGCAATGTTGAAATATTGTAGTGGGGGGGGGGGGGGGGGGCGGGGGTAATGGATGGGATGGACGCATGGAATTCTGTGCTTTTGAGATTTTATCTATTTTGGATTCCGTGTACAATCACGACAGCTGTAATGGAAGTGGAAGCGACCACCACAGCATTTCAAATGCATATTGCCCAATTACAGGAGCAATCCTACATCAGGACAGCCTTGATAGATCCGAAGCAGCAGCCACCACGTTTGAATAGGGTGATTAATCTACCTTGGTTTCTGCATTAGGTAAAGTGCCGGTGGTGGTGACAGCAGAACCATCACCGACTTCCTACCACACCACCCTCCCCTGCACACCTGTCCTCACTTTTAAAAAAAGCTGAGTACCCATATTCTGATTTGTCTTTTACAAGAACATATTATTAAAATCCAAAAAAGTAAGAGAGTATATATATATATATATATATATATATATATATATATATATATATATATATGAATGGTCCACGAAAGATAACCCATAAAAAAATAACGCAACATCTCCCGTATCAATTTTTATAAACCCATTTTGCATACTACGATTTATATAGCCTTGATTTTCATTAACTGAATTGAACAAATATCTTCAAATTATGAAAATATCAACTTGCCATCGGAGCATGACAGCAAATATTGATAAATAGAAATAATGCATGTACACAAATTTTACCGTTAATTTGATTTTTCCTATATTTGTCCCCCACCATCTTTGTCAAAATGACAAAACCAATTCATTTTCCTTCGTATGTACATAAACATAAAGGAGATTAACTTACAATTTTAGACTTTATTTCGTGAAAATTAAATGACTTAAACAATATTCTTCTAAAAATAATCGGTTGTGCTTACACACTTTCTTTATTTCCTTCCATTTCCAATTTGATCTTATTTTTTATCTTTAAAAATTCCACTGAAAATTAGGTGCATGCTCACCTTTCTTGATGTGAATACTTCCAAACTCATGTATTCTAACTTCAAAGATCGTCTTCTTCACATTTTCTCTGCATCTCCCTCGCCACCTCTCTCTCTCTCTCTCTCTCTCTCTCTCTCTCTCAACCTTCACACCCCCGTAACCGCCACAACCTAACCAACCGCTCCTCCCCTTTTCCGGCGGAGGGAGACACACACGCCCGCAATGCCGCGTGGCATCTTCGCCTGCTTCGGCAAGCCCCACGTCCACTCCTCCGCCCCCGCCCCCGCGGGGGCGGCTGCAGTGGCAGAGGATCAGGCAGGGGCTGTGCTGGTGGAGCTGTTCTTGTCGCAGGGGTGCGCCACCTCGCCGGAGGCGGAGCTGCTGCTGTCGAGGCTGGGGAGGGGGGACTTCGAGGTGGAGGCTCCGGTGGTGGTGGTGTTGGCGCACCACGTGGACTACTGGGACTACATGGGGTGGAAGGACCCCTTCGGATCGAGCCTGTCCACGGTGAGGCAGAAGGCCTACGTGGAGGCGCTGAGGCTGGACACCATGTTCACGCCGCAGGTGGTGGTCCAGGGTCGGTCCCAGTGCGTCGGCACCGACCAGGACGCCTTGCTCTCTGCCATCGGGTCCGCCCCTCGATTCCCTTCGCCGATGCTCCAGGTTCGTGTTTTTTCCAGAAATATGCTTGATATTCACTGTGATATATTTATATAAGTACTGTGCGATTGGCATTGAATATATAAGAGACATAGTTTCAATCAATCTCGAATTCACGGAAACTTTCGAAACCAGCCAGAACTAGTACTATTAGTGTTAATTAGTGGGTTGTGGTGTACTAAATGAAGTATTTAGGCGTTGCTGGCGGATCGCCTTATCTTTTTTGCTTCTGTAAGAACGGCTTTTTCTAGATTGTTGGAACGATACCTCGGATATTCATTGGTTTGGAGCATTTCTGTACATGGATTGATTGTCGAGAGAGCATTAGATGTATATAGACCTTGGTTTCCGAATCTGGAAGTATGTTCCTAATCATGATGTTCTCTGATTAGAACAATAGTCACCTGGAGATATTTCGATGTTCAAGGCCGGATAAGGTCGTGCTTAAATCAAGGACCTGTTACTGTTCGAACATATGTGGAATAAGGCTAAGTTGGTGTTGCTGTAGTTTTTCGCAGCACAGAGGTTGAGAATTCCGGGTGGTGATTAATGTCAAATTGTACGGTGTGGTAAATTTAATGTTGTAGGAGTAGGTTTATCGCATCCACCATCAATAAAATGATTAGGATGTGAGTGGTATTGAAGAATATAATGGTAGAAAGAAATTGCAGAAACCCTGAGAAGTCTCTGGTGTCATACAATGAGACTTGGCAATTCTTTGTTACGAGAGTGAGTATTTCGGATCTGTTTTAAATCGGTTTGCTCACTCGGACGTGGTTTGATCCGGGGATTCTTAGCCATGCTCAGTTATGCTGCTAATGATGTTTGAACTTTGGTAAATTGGTTTGGTTTTGATTGCCTTTTGATTAATGTTTTCCATTAGATGATGTGGAAGATTGTCTGACAAAACTAGTGAAACTTATAGACTAATCTTTGCTCAGCCCTCAACGAAATCCACCACATAGATCTGAGAGGGACCGAAAAATATGGAACAGATCTGAAGGCAACGACATTGAAAAGCAGAGGAAGAGAAGGGAAACGATAACTAAATAAAATAAGATAAAAAGACGGTTCAACAGAAATAAGATAAGTTGGTGGGAGAGATCCACTCCACCAGCTACAGAACCGCATTCGATTCCTTGTCCTTTTCCCAAACATGAAGAAAAGTCATATGCAACCTGTCGGTTGATATTCTCATTCATATTCACTTACACACGTTTGATGTACTAAACGTAATAATCAATTGCTGATTTCCAACGTTGGAAGTTATGGTGCGCATGACACACCAAGCTATGTTCTATGACTATGATAACATCTGATATCCAATTTCTCCTAATTGATGTTTCCGTGAAGAGTGAAATCCATGTAAAAGTTTGAAGTTTTAATAAATGTACTTAGTAGTATGAAGGAAGTTCTCTATGGATCTTGAAAGGTAGGTCCTGGTAAATCATAGCACTTGCCTAATATTGTAAATCTTCTGCTAATACTGAGAGAGCTTAATTCAATTCAGCTGTCATTTCTCATCAAATCAAGAAACGAGAGTAAGGTTTACTTAGTCTGAGAATTTCAGGGTCCTGGAATGATATCATTACCTTTCTTTTACATTAAATACTGGATTAGCAATCCCAATTAAGTCAAGATGCATATACACATGCACAGGCAAATTTCCAGAGGCCGGCACCGGATTCTTTACAAGTGTCGCTGTCCGGAGTGTTGAGGATGAAGGTGGAAGGCCAAGCTAATGTGATGGTGGCTCTATATGAGAATGGATTGCTGACCGACTGCTTGAAGGGAGAGAATAAAGGGCGGGTGTTATCCAACGATTTCGTTGTAAGGAAGCTCGAGAAACTGTGTACCGTCAAGGATATTTCAGCAAAGAAGACGGTTTCGGGAACTGTTAATTTTCCATTGTGGGAAGGTTTCAAAAGCAGCAAATGTGGGATTGCGGTCTTTGTTCAGAACAGTGCTTACCAGATCTTTGGATCACAGAATGTCCTACTGCCAGATAATATGTGAAAGTGAGACAAAATCTTATATTCTTTGTCGCAGCATGAGGGCCTTGAGTTCTGACCATTTTGTACAGGGTGTGTGGTGGTTGAGCACCATGTTTTCTTCTTTTAATGCTCCGTTGTTGTCGGCTGCTGGTTGAACTTTCTTTTGTCATTGATTCTTTTAGGAGAGAGAGCATATCTGACTTTCATTATCGAACCCTTTGAAGGATCTTGCGATTCTTCAGTGTTTGGAACTCAATACATCGTGTGATTGCACTGTCTCTCTGAGTGTTCTGTCATCAGGATTTGAAAAGTCTGCTAGTATACGGTATGGAATAGATAATCGAGGCAAGTTGACCGTGGGATAATGTGAGATAAAGATTGCCTTTACTTTTTCTTGATATCCTATTCTATTGCCTGTACTATTCAATGAATTGTGCAAGCTGGACTTGCTGGGTGCTCAAATATGACAGAACAACTCATCATCAGTTAAATTATTAGCCATTGATTATGATTGTGAAACAGCACACCGGCAAGGCGGCAATGAGTCAACTTAGTTAAGAGATCTAGCGCTTCTTGATCAAAGTAGTTGGTTAAATTGAAGTGCCTTCAGTGAGCATCCATTGTAGATCTGATACTGCTAGGCAGGAACATTAAAGAAGAGATATTTCCGTATCTGTATTTTTAGTCTAATTACAACTCCTCAATCAAGATGAAGGAAGTGACTCAACAGGGTCCCCAAGAACTCAAGTACAAGACTTTTCTGAAGGACTCCTCAGATTGCCGCAGCTTCTCTTCACCGATCGTCCTGTTAACCGTGGAGGAAGCAGGAGAAGAGAGCTTCCTGGTCTGAGGATAAGATCTGAGATTGGTCTTGGCATGCTGGTGTAGTGATCTGAGAACATGGTTCCATCTGCAGAAGCCTTGGTCCTTGAGTGCTTCCACAGCTCCGATGCTGGCTGCAACGATCCAAGCTCTGCATGTCGAACTCATTGTCTCTGCTCCTTTTCGGTGGTGATGACTGAATGAAGATGTGGTCTGGAGATTTGGGTGTAGTAGTGGGGGTCCTTTGGGGCTGAATTCCAATGGTGTTGGGGAATGGAGCGGAGGGTGTTGGTTAATATAGTGAGGAGGGGCTTAACTCAAAACAAGAGGCAGATGTTACCAGGGACTCGGGAGATATGCCCGTGGTTTTAGGTTTGGCGACACCAAAAACCACAGGCTTTGCCTTGTTTTGGCTGTTTCCGGATTCGCTCGCAAACCACCGAATATTTTTTATAAATAGTTATTTTGGTCAACACTAACCTAATTGAGTAAAGTTTACCACCACGTACCATTTTTTTAAGAATTCATTTGGCTTGTTAGTCTCAATTTATTCCAACTTCCCCCTAAAAAAATAGCTATTATAGCAGGCGCGAATTGTTTTTGTTTGCTATTTTATGATCCTTTCCGGGTGAACAAGGGCTTCTAGGGTCTCGGATGAAAATATGGGACCCCATCCCAAGTGCGAAAATGGTTGATTTCACTTATAATGTATGTCGTTGTAGACAATTTTGTGAACTTGAAAGGTAATTTATCGCTTGTAAGATTATTTTTGCATTTATGAATATTGACGAATTTAGATGTAACATACGATCACTGAAACTTATTTTACAAATGGAAAATATAACCTACGAACATCATTTTGTATTTATGATGCAATAAGATATGTTACTACGGTTAGATTTTGTTAGCATTTACTAAGTATAATTACTATTATTAAGAATTAGTATTCACTCAATTTTTTTTTGGTCGAAAGAAAGATTCTATTCATCAGAATAATATCTGAGAGGTACATAGAAGGCATACAAGCCTAACAAATCCCAAACAACTGCGGAATAAAACAAATATTAGAACGCAAATAACAAAGCACAAAGCACAGTCTGTAGCTAAAAGCACACTCTCATCTCTTAATAACAGATCTGCCACTGTAAACGTTCGGCGGCCAGTCACCAGATTCAGTAATGAGCACACGCCGAGATCCCCCACTCCATTTGCAACAGCTTGCGGTGTGCGTCTAGATTCAACGGTCTCATCACCATCGTCATGCAGAGACACCAATATCAATATGTTGAAAGAACACAGGTTAAATATCTGTAAGGAACTCCCAGATTTAAACCTAAATCTAAATCGGGAGAGTAAAACCTTCACTCAATTGACTAGTTACAAAGTAATTACAGCTTTGAATTACAACCTTCAAGGTAAATTACCTTATCTTAAGAGATGTTACTGCTTTAGAGGTTAATTACTCTATTTGAGGATTACAGCCAAAAGTAATTTGCTACCTAAAACACTACCAAGTGCGAGGAGTAATTTACAACCTTAAATGGAAATATAGGAAATTACTACAAATTGGTTTTCACTTCAAAATATATATGCTTATATTGCTTACAAAAATGAATGAAAAATATTTTCTAAAAAATGATTACTTAAAAATGAGTGGACAGAAAATATTTTCATTGTCCACGAAAATGTTTAGACATAAATTATTGTTAGTAACTAATTATTTTAAGTAATTATTGTTTGAAAAAATATTTTTTAAAAACATTCATTTTCCACGAAACAAATGAAACCTTAATTTATTGTCTAAGAATTGCCATAACTAAGTTACAATCACGCAATGTGATACATGAAAATGAAATCATCATAGTATGATCAAAATTTTTCTAAGATGTAAGTAATTCTCTAATTGTCACACCACGAATCCATAAAGAATGGGGAAATGACAATGTCGTCCTTCCTCCAAAGGATACAGCTTTAACGCAACCAATAACTTGAGTTGGTTATAACATCAGAGTTTTTATAATCCGTCAAAAGAATGTTTACACTTCCAACTTAACTAAACCTAACCAATGTCATCTAGAACATATACCCCTCAACCATACCAAAAAAATCATACTCCCAAAAGCCCTCATCAATAGTGCTCTCGAACTATCAGCCGCTAATCGAGGAACCTGAAAAGATTTGGAAGGATTGGGGTGAGCAACCACAGCCTATTGAGTAATACATCTCTTTAAAGTGGATCGGGTAATCACTATGTATACATATAAAGTAAGACGAGAAACTTCAAGGACATAGAGGTGGCTGCCACGAGACTCACGTCAACGCGAGCCTCACGGGAGCCACTTCTGGGGCCTTGTACCACTATTATGTGTTAGTCAAGGGATAAGTGCTACACACTGAGGCCAATCTCGTGAGAGTCATCTCCAGGGCCTTGTACCAGTGTTATATGTTGATCAAGGGCTAAGTTCTATACAATGATCAAATCTCGTTAGAGCCACCTCTAGAGTCTTGTACCATTGATATGTGTTGGTCAAGGGCTAAGTGCTATACGTTGAGGCGAATCACGTGGGAGCCACCTCTAAGGCCTTTTACCATTATAATATCTAGCCTGAGCACGCTTAACTTTGTGATTCCAAAGCAAAACTTGCGTGTGCGCCAAAAGACAAAAACGTGAGGTTTAGTATGGGATGGGTCAAGCAGATAATACCTCGAGTGATTTAATTCATGGATGTCATACTAATAAAATGCAAAATACTACTTTGAAGATGAATTAATCCCTCTAGATATTACTAGTACGAAAACGATATCAGGGTAGTATTATCATAATTACCTAAGATATATGCCAGGTGCAAGTAGAGAAGTCCATGTTAATTGACCTAAAGTTATGGAAAATTGGCTAAACTTCTTGTAACCCGATTGCACTTGTTGTTAGTAACATTATATATATATATATAATAGGAACAATACTTTAGCCTTCGTAATTTTAGGATACTGTCACTAGTAAATCTCCGGTAGTATTATAGTTTTTCTCAAATAGTCGTAACTGGTCGCTCATTATAATTCGTAAATTTCCATAATTAATAATAACTTCTTTTCAATTTTCGTAACTTGAGAATGGAATTGCTTCGTAATTATCTTACAATATCGTAATTTTCCTCCATAGATCACAACTTATAATTCTTGTTCTTAGTAATTATACCTCCAATAACTTTATTTGCCTGAAGTTGTCGTAATTTCAACTGCACCTACAGTTCGAAATACGAGAATGCTATCGCTTGATAATTAACTGACAATATAGTAACACGCCTCAAATTGTCATGAAAGACGAACTTATAATTAGTAATTGGCCTCAATTATCATGAACTACTTGTAGTCCAGGTTAATGATGGTTAGCAATCTAGCTTTAGAGATGGTAAATTACCTCAAGTTCTAGTAAGCTAGAACATCTAACAATTTATATCTCTCTAGGTAAACAAATCTTTAACGAGGATAGCAACACCAGAATTTGTTCACAACATCTAACAATCTATATCTCTCTACGTGAATTTCAACCTCATTATCAGCAAACGTTATAGCCGCAGAATCAGGGGCAAGAAATTGACATTCAGGCTTCTCTAATTCAAGATTCCCAACTTTTCCAATACGCTTCACCGAATGATTCACAAACCCAGATTGCCATTGCCAACATTTTAGCACTTCAAGAATGCAAATCTCTCTATATTTCTCTCTCTCTCTCTCTACTGCAGATGTCAGAGTCCCTATTTCCTAAGACCCGGTAGACTCGGGGCCCCGGCAAGTGAGATGGATGATCGTTAATTGGGGGACTCATCCAGGCGCTTCAAGCTCTTTGGCCACGGCCGAAGAAGATGGGGGCAGAGAACTTCTTGGCCCGACAATCTGATATTGCTAGGCAGGAATGTAAACGAAGAAATACATCCTCATGTCTGTATTTTTTAGTCTAATTACAACTCCTCAATGAAGATGAAGGAAGTGACTCAACAGGGTCCCCAAGAACTCAAGTACAAGACTTTTCTGAAGGACTCCTCAGATTGCCGCAGCTTCTCTTCACCGATCGTCTTGTTAACCGCGGATGAAGCAGGAGAAGAGAGATTCCTGGCCTGAGAATAAGATCTGAGATTGGTCTTGGCATGCTGGTGGAGCGATCTGAGAACATGGTTCCATCTGCAGAAGCCTTGGTCCTTGAGTGCTTCCACAGCTCCGATGCTGGCTGCAACGACCCAAGCTCTACTTGTCGAACTCATTCTCTCTGGGCCTTTTCGGTGGTGATGACTGAATGAAGACAAGGTGTGGAGATTTGGGTGTAGTAGTGGGTGTCCTTTGGGGTTGAGTTCCAATGGTGTTGGGGGATGAATTGGAGGGTGTTGGTTAATATAGTGAGGAGGGGTTGCTGGCGTGGTGGGGGATGGTGAGACAGGGTGGCATCTGAGGAGAAGAAAGGAAGGGCGGGCACAACTCAAAACAAGAGGCAGGTGTTTCCGGGGGGTACTTGGGAGATAATGCCCATGGTTTTAGGTTTGGCAACTCCAAAAACCACAGGCTTGCCTTGTTTTGGCTGCTTCCTGGATCCACACGCTTGTGAGAGGGAGAGTAGTTTAGTCAACACCAGCACAATTGTGTAAAGTTTACCACCGCACGTGATCTTTTTGTGAAAATATTTTTTTAAAACTGATCTCACGTAACACTTATAAAATTAAATAAACGAAAAATATTTTCATCGTTCATGAAAATATTTAGACATAAAATTATTGCCGATAGTGAAAATATTTTTTATTGACTAATTATTTTAAATGATAGCGATCGTTTTTAGGAAAATATTTTTCAAATTATTCAATTTTCTCGAAATAAATGGAGATAATTTATTTGCTTGTTAGTCTGAAATTATTGTTACGTTCCCCTAAAAATAGCACTTATAGCAAACACATGATCTATTTTCGTTTGCTATTTTCTAATCCTTCTTGGTTAACGAGCGCTTCTAGGGTCTCATGTGAAAAATATGAGATCCCATCCCGTGTGCGAAAATGATTGGTTTCGCTTATAATTTACGTCACTATAAATAATTTTGTAAATTCATAAGGAAATTTATAACCTGTAAGATAATTTCTGCATATTGATATTTAAAACATATATTCAAAAGGTAATTTTTACGAATTTCAAGGTAACTTACGAACATCATTTTGTACTTGCGAAGCAATAAGATATGTTACTACGGTTAGATTTTATTATCATTTACTAAGTATAAGTACAATTACTATTATTAAGAATTAATGCTCACTCAATTTACTAGTTACAAAGTAGATTATTTCTTTGAATTACAACCAACAAGGTAAATAACCTTATCTCAAGAGTTGTTATTGCATTATAGTAATTTGCTACCTAAAACATTAGTGCGAGAAGTAATTTACTACCTTAAATGGTAATATTATTACCGTTAAAATAAAATTGCTTAGTAATTATCTTGCCATATCGTTATTTTCCTTCATAGATCCTAACTTATAATTTCTATTGTTAGTAATTATACCTCCAATAACTTTAATTTGCCCGAAGTCAATTGTAATTTCGGCTGCACGCATATATAGTTAGTACTTTCATTTTTCTCATAGTAATATAGTTCTAGAGTTCGAAATAGGAAAATACTATTACTTAACAATTAACTAATGACATAGCAACGCTCCTTAAATTGTCATGAGAGATGTGAACTTAAAATTATTAATTGGCCTCGATAATCATAAACTACCTGTAAGTCCGGGTAAATGATGGTTAATGATCTACCTTTAGAGATAGTAAATTACCTCAAGTTCTAGTAAACTAAAAGCTCCTAATCATCATAACTTATCTTGAGAACTAGTAAGTAACTCAAATTTATGGTAACTTTTTTTTCCGTGTTTTTAGTAAATTTATTTAAATGGTCATAATGTTCCTTTCAAGTTCATGAATAAATGGAGGCCATTTCGTAAGTAATAACCTTTGGTTGTCATAATATTCGCTAATCAATTGTAAAATTTACTATCCTATTTCAGTAAATTTCCTCAAATGTCATCAAGTTACCACTTTGATAGATAATTGGTCCCATTTTTAAAATTAATCATAGGGATGAGATATTTTGGGTTTTAAATTGAATGGGCCAAATTCTATAGGTTGTAGGTCCAACATAACACCTTGGAATTTTTTTGTCGGCAACCTTCTCTCTCCCAAAAAACCCCTTCCTCAATTGAAGCCGAGAGCTTGCTTTGCTTTTCTTTTCTAGGCCTTGATTTCCTATTTTCTCTCTCTCGATCTAATTCGAGAGTCTTTTTTTTGCCTTGTATCGCGTCTTCTTTTGCTCGTTATTGTTGCATTTCTTCGCTTGCCATGGTAAATAAATATGCCTGCAACTAAGAATTTTGTAAGAACGTCGTCACCAATCCAGCCAACAGAATGCCTGAGACGTGATTTGATGACTTCTTAGACACAGCGGAAGTTCTCCTCTCTCGATTTAGGTGTAGATATAAACCTGAGAGCTTAGATCTTAGAGTTTCTTAAAGGCATTCAATATGTGATGGTTCAACAGGTTGTTGTCGTCGTCATCTTCGTATGGCGATGGTGTTGAGGATACCAAACCTAGGCTCGCACTACAAGCTGTAATTTTTGAAGGGGAAGATCGGTGTAAGCCTATCTGTGACGGTTCTAGTGATCGGCCGCCGATTGATGGCTATTCCTTCATGGATGATTTAATCGATGAATCAATCACAATATCGAAAATGAATTGATCTGTGTATTTTTCTTATGCAAGTAAGGATAACATTTACAATATGTGATGTATTCTAATTCCAAAGAAAAAGAGATATTTTATTTGATAAAATGAATCTAGGTAAGACAAATTCTCATTGATGTTAGCAACACCAGAATTTGTTCCTAGCTTCTAAGGACGCGAATGATAACCATTCTGTTCCAAAAACAAATCCTGGAACATAAATAGATTTTTCTATTTCTGTTCCCAGGACGAGTTTTTGAGGAAAGAAATCCATTTGATAACGACTCAAAAATTTCTATTTTTGGAACAGAAACCCGTTTGATAACAGCATAAAATTTCTATTTACTGGAATATAAACCCATTTGATAACAACACAAATTTCTATTTCCCGGAGCAGAAATTCATTTTTTTAGAAATTGTCTCTAAAATGAAAATCAATCAAAATACCAAAACCCTAGTAAAGCCCTAAAGGTTTATTCTTTCAAAGGATCGTGTTGTTTTTTAGGGGTAAAGACCCATTTTGAGGGTTAAACCCCTTTTAGGGATTAAAACTCCTTTTAAATCCCTAAACTAAGGAGTCTTCAAAAATATCATTTGGGCACCTCAAAAATTTAAATTTCACTCAAAGTGGGTGGCCATAAGTATTCTAAGCTATTCTGTGAAGTTTTGAAATTTTTAATTTTTTTTGAAAAAATTCACCAAATTTCCTATTTTCCCGAAATTTGACTCTTTTTATTTTCTGGAAATTTTTCTGAATTTTTTGAAATTTTTTTTGAGATTATTAGGAATTTTCTGGATTTTCTAATTTTTTTTTATGAATTTTCTAAATTTTTTTATTTTTTTTTTCTGATTTTTCTGAATTTTCTTATTTTTTTTATTTTCCCACCGGGAATGAACCGGACTGAACCAGTTCGGACCGGTCTAACCAGGTTAGGGCGGGGTCAAATTTAGGAAGAGATGTGTTTTGAAGAGAGAAGATATGTGTTTTAGAAATGGTTTTTATTGCTCGTCTAGAAACAGAAAACCTACTTTTTTCTTGTTCTGATTTTTTGTCCAGAACCAGTTCCGGAACAAAAAATTATTCCAGAAATAAAAAAATGAAATTGCGTTGCCAAATGGATTTCTGTTCCAAACCTGTTCCCGGAAACAAAAAACTAGTTCTGAACAGAGATAGAATGATTATTATGCGTGCCCTAATAATTTATATCTTTCTGAACTACAATCTCATTATCAGCAAAAGCTATAGCCGTAAAATCAGAAGCAAGAAATTGATAATCAGGCTTCTCTAATTCAAGATTCCCAACTTTTCCAATACGCTTCATCGAATAATCCACAAACCCAGATTGCCATTGCCAACATTTTAGCACTTCAAGAAATTGATAATCAGGCTTCTCTAATTCAAGATTCCCAACTTTTCCAATACGCTTCATCGAATAATCCACAAACCCAGATTGCCATTGCCAACATTTTAGCACTTCAAGAATGCAAATCTCTCTCTCTCTCTCTCTCTCTCTACTGCAGTCTCTCTCTACTGCAGATATGAGTCCCTATGTCCTAAAGCCTTGGAGAATTGGGGCCTCAGCAATTGAGATGGATGCCCTTGTTGTGGGACTCCTCCAGGCGCTTCAAGCCCTTTGGCCACGGCCGAAGAAGATGGGGCAGAGAGCTTCTTGGCCCGACAATCTGATATTGCTAGGCAGGAATGTAAACGAAGAAATACATCCCTACGTTTGTATTTTTTAGTCTAATTACAACTCCTCAATGAAGATGAAGGAAGTGACTCAACAGGGTCCCCAAGAACTCAAGTACAAGACTTTTCTGAAGGACTCCTCAGATTGCCGCAGCTTCTCTTCACCGATCGTCTTGTTAACCGCGGAGGAAGCGGGAGAAGAGAGCTTCCTGGCCTGAGAATAAGATCTGAGATTGGTCTTGGCATGCTGGTGGAGCGATCTGAGAACATGGTTCCATCTGCAGAAGCCTTGGTCCTTGAGTGCTTCCACAGCTCCGATGCTGGCTGCAACGACCCAAGCTCTGCTTGTCGAACTCATTCTCTCTGGTCCTTTTCGGTGGTGATGACTGAATGAAGATAAGGTGTGGAGATTTGGGTGTAGTAGTGGGTGTCCTTTGGGGTTGAGTTCCAATGGTGTTGGGGGATGAATTGGAGGGTGTTGGTTAATATAGTGAGGAGGGGTTGCTGGGGTGGTGGGTGATGGTGAGAGAGAGAGTGGAATCTGAGAAGAAGAAAGGAAGGGCGGGCTCAACTCAAAACAAGAGGCAGGTGTTTCCAGGGGGCACTTGGGAGATATGCCCATGGTTTTAGGTTGCCAACACCAAAAACCACAGGCATTGCCTTGTTTTGGCTGCTTCCTGGATCCACACGCTTGAGAGAGAGAGATGATGCCCACGGTTTTAGGTTTGGCAACTCCAAAAACCACAGGCTTTGCCTTGTTTTGGCTGCTTCCTGGATCCACACGCTTGAGATAGAGAGAGAGTAGTTTAGTCAACACCAGCACAGTTGTGTAAAGTTTACAACCGCATGTGATCTTTTTGTCAAAATATTTTTTAAAAATTTAACTCGTCGTTTATGAAGATATTTAGACATAAAATTATTATCGATAATTATCGATAATAAATTTTTTTCATTAACTAATTATTTAAAACGATCACTCAGGAAAATATTTTTCAAATCATTTACCTTTCTCGAAATAAATGGAGATAATTTATTTGCTTGTTAGTCTCAAATTATTGTTACTTTCCCCTTAAAATAGCAATTATAGCAAACACGATCTATTTTTGTTTGCTATTTTCTAATCCTTCTTGTTTAACGAGTGCTTCTAGGGTCTCGTGTGAAAAATATGAGACCCCATTCCGTGTGCGAAAATGACCGGTTTCGCTTATAATTTACGTCATTATACATAATTTTGTGAATTCAAAAGGTAATTTATAACCTGTAAGATGATTTCTGCATATTAATATTTGCGAATTTAAAGATAACTTACGAACATCATTTTGTATTTGCGATGCAATAACATATCGTTCTTCGAATTACAACCTACAAGGTAAATTACCTTATCTCAAGAGTTGTTATTGCATTATAGTAATTTGCTACCTAAAACATTAGTGCAAGAAGTAATTTACTACCTTAAATGGAAATATTACCACCATTAAAATAAAATTGCTTTGTAATTATCTTACAATATCGTAATTTTCCTTCATAGATCGTAACTTATAATTCCCGTCGTTAGTAATTATACCTCCAATAACTTTAATTTGCTCGAAGTCAATTGTAATTTCGGCTGAACCTATAGTTAGTACTTTCATTTTTCTCGCAGCAATATGGTTCTAGAGTTCGAAATAGGAGAATACTATTACTTAATAATTAACTAATGACATAGCAACGCTCCTTAAATTGTCATGAGAGACATGAACTTATAATTATTAATTGGCCTTGATAATCATAAACTGCATGTAAGTCCGTGTAAATGATGGTTAATGATCTATATTTAGAGATAGTAAATTACCTCAAGTTCTAGTAAACTAAAAGCTCCTGATCATCATAACTTATCTTGAGAACTAGTAAATTAAATTTATGGTAACTTTTTTTTCCATATTTTTAGTAAATTTATTTAAATGGTCATAATGTTCCTTTCAAGTTCATGAATAAATGGAGGCCATTTCGTAAGTAATAACCTTTGGTTGTCGTAATATTCGCTAATAAATTGTAAAATTTACTATCCTATTTCAGCAAATTTCCTCAAATGTCATCAAGTTACTGCTTTAATAGATAATTGGTCACATTTTCAAATTCAATCATAGGGATGAGATATTTTGGGTTTTAAATTGAAGGGAAAAAACCACCAAAAACCCCAAACTTTGTCATCTGTGACACATTTATCCCGAACTTTTTTTTGTGACACCAAAAACTCCGAACTTTGCTTTTTGTGACACATTTACCCAAATGTATTTAGTCTATGGGCATTTTCGTCTTTTTTACTTTTTCTTTTTCCAGGGGGCACTTGGGAGATATGCCCATGGTTTTAGGTTGCCAACACCAAAAACCACAGGCATTGCCTTGTTTTGGCTGCTTCCTGGATCCACACGCTTGAGAGAGAGAGATGATGCCCACGGTTTTAGGTTTGGCAACTCCAAAAACCACAGGCTTTGCCTTGTTTTGGCTGCTTCCTGGATCCACACGCTTGAGATAGAGAGAGAGTAGTTTAGTCAACACCAGCACAGTTGTGTAAAGTTTACAACCGCATGTGATCTTTTTGTCAAAATATTTTTTTAAAAATTTAACTCGTCGTTTATGAAGATATTTAGACATAAAATTATTATCGATAATTATCGATAATAAATTTTTTTCATTAACTAATTATTTAAAACGATCACTCAGGAAAATATTTTTCAAATCATTTACCTTTCTCGAAATAAATGGAGATAATTTATTTGCTTGTTAGTCTCAAATTATTGTTACTTTCCCCTTAAAATAGCAATTATAGCAAACACGATCTATTTTTGTTTGCTATTTTCTAATCCTTCTTGTTTAACGAGTGCTTCTAGGGTCTCGTGTGAAAAATATGAGACCCCATTCCGTGTGCGAAAATGACCGGTTTCGCTTATAATTTACGTCATTATACATAATTTTGTGAATTCAAAAGGTAATTTATAACCTGTAAGATGATTTCTGCATATTAATATTTGCGAATTTAAAGATAACTTACGAACATCATTTTGTATTTGCGATGCAATAACATATCGTTCTTCGAATTACAACCTACAAGGTAAATTACCTTATCTCAAGAGTTGTTATTGCATTATAGTAATTTGCTACCTAAAACATTAGTGCAAGAAGTAATTTACTACCTTAAATGGAAATATTACCACCATTAAAATAAAATTGCTCGAAGTCAATTGTAATTTCGGCTGAACCTATAGTTAGTACTTTCATTTTTCTCGCAGTAATATGGTTCTAGAGTTCGAAATAGGAGAATACTATTACTTAATAATTAACTAATGACATAGCAACGCTCCTTAAATTGTCATGAGAGACATGAACTTATAATTATTAATTGGCCTTGATAATCATAAACTGCATGTAAGTCCGTGTAAATGATGGTTAATGATCTATATTTAGAGATAGTAAATTACCTCAAGTTCTAGTAAACTAAAAGCTCCTGATCATCATAACTTATCTTGAGAACTAGTAAATTAAATTTATGGTAACTTTTTTTCCATATTTTTAGTAAATTTATTTAAATGGTCATAATGTTCCTTTCAAGTTCATGAATAAATGGAGGCCATTTCGTAAGTAATAACCTTTGGTTGTCGTAATATTCGCTAATAAATTGTAAAATTTACTATCCTATTTCAGCAAATTTCCTCAAATGTCATCAAGTTACTGCTTTAATAGATAATTGGTCACATTTTCAAATTCAATCATAGGGATGAGATATTTTGGGTTTTAAATTGAAGGGAAAAAACCACCAAAAACCCCAAACTTTGTTCTTCATTTACATTTATTTTTTTTTTTCTTTCTTTTTTCCATTTCCCAAATGTATTTAGTCTATGGGCATTTTCGTCTTTTTACTTTTCTTTTTTTTTCTTTTTTCTTTCCATCAGCGGCCATCGCCGGATCCGTGAGGGCCCTCGCCGGCCTCAGCGAGGGCGGCCCTTGCCCGATCCGGCGAGGCGGCCTCGCCGGCGTCGGGCGAGGTTCGCTCGCCGCACAGGCGAGCGAGGGTGGCCTCGCCGGGCGGCGAGGGCGGCCCTCGCCGCTCAGCGAGGTCGACTCTCGCCGGCGTCGGGCGAGGTCGACCTCGCTCGAGTCGGGCGAGGGCCGCCTCGCTCGCCCGGGCGAGGCGACCCTCGCCGGCGTCGGCGAGGTCCGCCTCGCACGGGCGAGCGAGGCGGCCCTCGCCCGATCTGGCGAGGTCGACCCTCGCCGGGCGAGCGAGGGCGGCCCTCGCCCGTCCGGCGAGGGCCGCCCTCGCCGGCGTCCGGCGAGGCGCCCTCGCTCGCGCCCGGCGAGGTCGACCTCGCGGATCGGCGAGCCGCCTCGCTCGCCGGCGAGCGGACCTCGCCGACGCCGGCGAGGGTCGCTCGCCGGGCGAGCGAGGGCGGCCCTCGCCCGGACTCGAGCGAGGTCGACCTCGCCCGACGCGGCGAGGGTCGACCTCGCCCGAGTCGGCGAGGGCCGCCTCGCTCGCCCAAGAGGCGAACCTCGCCCGACGCCGGCAAGGGCCATCGTCGCTCGACGCCGGCGAGGGCCCTCGCCGGATCCGGCGATTGCGACCCTCGCCGACGCCGGCGAGGCCCCTCACGGAAAGGAAAAAAAAAGAAAAAGAAAAAAGAAAAAGCAAAAAGACGAAAATGCCCATGGACTAAATACATTGGGGTAAATGTGTCACAAAAAGCAAAGGATTTTGGTGTCACAAAAAAGTTTGGGTAAATGTGTCACATATAAAGTTTGGGATTTTTGGTGGTTTTTTCCCTAAATTGAATGGGCCAAATTCTATGGGTTGCAGGTCCAACATAACACCCTGGAATCTCTTTGTCGGCAACCTTCTCTCTCCCAAAAAACCCCCTCCTCAATTGAAGCTAAGAGCTTGCTTTGCTCTGCTTTTCTTTTCTAGGCCTTGATTTCCTATTTTCTCAGTCCCGATCTAATCCGGGAGTCTTTTTTGTGCCTTGTATCGTGTCTTCTTTTGCTCGTTATTGTTGCATTTCTTCGCTCATCATGATAAATAAATATGCTTGCAGCTATAAATTTTGTAAAAATGTCGTCACCAATCCAGCCAGCAGGATGTCTGAGACGTGATTTAATGACTTCTCAGACAGAGCGGAAGTTCTCCTCTCTCAATGTAGGTGTAGATATAAATCTAAGAGCTTAGATATGAGAGTTTCTTAAAGACGTTTGATATGTGGTGGTTTGTTGTTGTCTTTGTATGACGATGGTGTTGAAAACGCCGAACTTAGGCGTGCATTACAAGCTGTAATTTTTGGAGGGGAAGATCTCGGTGTGTGCCTATTAGTGACGGTTCCGGTAATCGGCGGCCGATTGTCTTTTGCCTGTAATAGATCTAGTCTTTGTAGGTTGTACTCCTTTGTTTTCTAATTTTCGTTTTATAGCTCTTTTGGGATTCACTTCATTCGAAAACTTTTTATGTTTCTCTCATGTTTGATTATGACAAATGAATGAAATTTTCTTTCAGCTAAAAAAAAGGATAACACCCTGCTAAACAATATATTTTTCCTAACAATAAAAGATAGAATCACACCAGTAATAATTGATGGCTATTCCTTCATGGATGATTTAATCGATGAATCAATCGCAATATCGAAAATGAATTGATCTGTGTATTTTTCTTATGCTAGTAAGGATAACATTTACAATATGTGATGTACTCTGATTCCAACGAAAAAGAGATATTTTATCTGATAAAATGAATCTAGGTAAGACAAATTCTTATTGATGTCAGCAACACCAGAATTTGTTCACAGCTTCTAATAATTTATATCTTTCTGAACTCCAATCTCATTATCAGCAAAAGCTAGAGCCGTAGAATCAGAAGCAAGAAATTGATAACCAGGCTTCTCTAATTCAAGATTCCCAACTTTTCCAATACGCTTCACCGAATAATCCACAAACCCAGATTGCCATTGCCAACATTTAAGCAATTCAATAATGCAAATCTCTCTCTCTCTCTCTCTCTCTCTCTCTCTCTCTCTCTCTACTGCAGATATCAGAGTCCCTATTTCCTAAAACCTGGTACACTCGGGGCCCCAGCAGTTGAGACGCATGACCTTGCCGTGGGACTCCTCCAGGCGCTTCAAGCCCTTGGCCATGGCGGAAGAAGAAGGGGCAGAGAGCTTCTTGGCCTGGGAATAGGACCTGAGGTTGCTCTTCACGTGCTGGTGGACCGACCTGATGGGGTAGTTCCACCTCGCGAAGCCGTGGTCCTTCAGTGCCTCCACGGCCGCTATGCTGGCCGCCACGATCCACGCTTTGCCACCTGCATTCATCTTCCCTTCGATTCCCTTTGAAAAAGGGACGAATACAGAAGGAAAAGGGGTTCCTGTTTTCGTGGGAGTTGGAGCGGTTCTTGCTATGGAGCTTTGTTAAGTAAGGATCTGGAATGGGTGCTCGTTTATATATAGCGGAGAGATAGAGAGACGGAGGAGGGTCTGGAGCGTTTCACAAGGGGCGTGGTTGGTCCTTTTTTCCCATTAAAGAAAACCGGAGGCACTAATCACCAGGCAGAGGCAGTACTTGAAGGAAAGAGCCGTGGTTTTGCCTTTTCTTGCTTCTGGTTTGGGCCCAAATCAGCTGCTTAGCCTGATTAGCTGTCCCTGGTTGACGCGTCGATAGAAATTATATCGTGCCCCACAAATAAGGGCAAAAAAAAAGAGGGCTTTTTTTTCCTGATGAGAGGAAAATGTTGATTGAAGGTGAAAATAAATATAAATATCAAGCCAAAGTGACTTGCCTCGGCTCAGCTGCTATGGTTCGAATTCTACGCATAACATATCCAGATTTGAATCCTACTGTCAACAGTTCCATTTGGTGGGCAATATGATAATCTCCTTTCCTCCTAAACTTTTTCATATCACAATAAATATATATATATATATGTATGTGTGAATGATTTTTGTGATTGTAACTTATCAATTAGAGTGGTTATACCAAAATCACTTCTGAATTTATTTAGTTTGTTGTTATATTTCCTCTTTTCATGATTTAGAATTTATGGTAGATCGTTGGGTGCAAGCTAACTTTATTACTGTAGCACCTCTCCATTCTTCAACTTTTTTTTTTCTAGTACTATACTTTCACGTCTTTTTTAACCAAGTCTATGTAAGTTTAATATATTTAATCAAGTTCTTTTGTTATCACGAATTTGTTAACCGAGCCTTTCTAACATTAGATCATGCCAAGATTCAATTGATGTAGCCTTCGAGTGCGGCGCACATAAAACTTCTCCGATGTAGACGTCCACGTTACTAAATTTTGTGCACGTTATGTTCCGATTACATATTGCCTAAATTTTTCTGTGGCCGTGTCCATGTTGCGTCCACCTTGACCAAATTTTGTTCATATTATGCGTTGGCATTGCAAGACGACCACTCTGGCTGGAATTGGTCGTATTTGGTATCGAATATACTTGATCAGAAAATTTGTGAGTTCAAAAAAGTGTGAGTATAGGATAGGAAGTAGTATTTTTCCGAATTTTATAATTAATTATAGAAAAGTTATAATTGATAACGTTGGCCGGACTTTCTTGTTGTCTCGAGCCTGCTTATTTGAACCTTCGGGCTTGAAAGGGCTGAGGAGGAGGCTACTCGCTCAATGTTTAATTCGTATTAGGCGTGGTCAATGGTCACTACAGAAAGTAGAGACAAAGCATTTTTAAATCAATCAATTGCGCGCGTTGCAATTAGGTTACATAGTAAATGCTCACAAGTTGTCTCTAACTATACTCAGAAATAGGTTAGAAAGATCATTTATATATAAACAATCAAATGTACAAAGATCATGAACTCACGTTCCAAGCACTTCCTTGAATAATTTATTAACATTCGCTTCTAGAATTTGACCCTTTCAAAACTGTTGATTGGACTGTGTAAGCATATAATAACAAAGAAATGTGCCTCGTGTTTAAAGCATGTTCATCTTAGATAAAAGAATTGTCCCGAGCTTTCCATCATTAGATAGGTATTAGCAAATATGATTCGATATCGTTCCGACCATCAAAGATTGAAACTCCCATAATGTCCGCATGAAAATCGGTTGAGGTTTTTGATGTCACCGTGATTGATCCGGATGAAATAGAAGAAGATCTAGAATAGGAGCCCGGAGGAATCTTTGGTTTAGGCACTCATCATGCTCTACCATGACTAGAACCAGATGAAACACGCATCAAGATTCATTGCATGGTGCCATGAGACATAGACATGAATTGTTGATTTGTCCCAGTGACTAACCCGGCTTCTGATAGACGGGGGAATTACTAAAAAAGTCGTATCATATCAATTTAGTCATAAACTTTTTTTTGATCAATTTAGTTATAAAATTTTTGCATCTGGGCCAGTTCAGTACATCCGGTCGGTTTTGGCCGGCTGGCACTGACGTGGACTTTTTAAATGATATTTTAATAATTTTTTGAATTTTTGTAATGTTCGTTTCAAGTTCATGAATAAATGGAAGCCATTTTGTAAGTAATAACCTTTGGTTGTCGTAATATTCGCTAATCAATTGTAAAATTTACTATCCTATTTCAGAAAATTTCCTCAAATGTAATCAAGTTACCTTTTTAATAGATAATTGGTCGCATATTTAAAATTAATCGGAGGGATGAGATATTTTGGGTTGAAATTGAATGGGCCAAATTCTTTAGGTTGTAGGTCCAGCACAACACCTTGGAATCTCTTTGTCGGCAACTCTCTCACCCAAAAAAAACCCTCCCTCAATTGAAACCTGAGAGCTTGCTTTGCTATGCTTTTCTTTTCTAGGTTTTGATTTCCTGTTTTCTCTCTCCCGATCTAATTCGGGAGTCTTTTTTCGCTTCCTTTGGCGTCTTCTTTCGCTCGTTGTCATTGCATTTCTTCTCTCGTCGTGGTGAATAAATATGCTTGCAGTTGAAAATTTGTGAGAACGCCATCACCAATCTAGCCAACAAGATGTTCAACACGTGATTCTATGACTTCTCGGACATAGTGGAAGTTATCCTCTCTCGATTTAGGTATAGATATAAATTTGAGAACTTTTCTCTCTCGATCTAAATTTAGATTCGGGAGCTTTTTAAAGGCGTTCGATTTGTGGTGGTTCAACATGTTGTTGTTGTTGTCGTCTTTGAATGGCAATGGTGTTGAGGACACCGAACCTCGGTGCGCGCTGCAAGCCGTAATTTCGGGAGGGGAAGATCTTGGTGTGTGCTTATCAATGACGGTTCCGGTAATCGGCCGCTGAATAGATGTGGTTTCTATATGCTGTACTCTTTTGTTTTCTAAGTTTTGTTTTGTTTTGCAGCTCTTTTGTCATTTACTTTGCTCGAAAGTTTTTAATGTTCCTCTTATGTTTGGTCATGACAAATGAATAAAATTTTATTTCAACAAAAAAGAACGTAGACAATATATTTTTATTAACAATAAAAGATAGAATCACACCAATAATAATTGATGGCTATTCCTTTATAGATGATTTAATTGACGAATCAACTATAATGTCGAAAATGAGTTGATCTGTGTATCTTTCTTGTGCAAGTAAGGTTAACATTTACAATATGTGATGCACTCTAATTCCAACTAAAATGAGAGAGATTTACTTTATCTGATAAAAGGTAAACAATTAATGTCAGCAACACCAGAATTAGTTCACAACATCCGATAGTTTATATCTCTCTGGAATTGCAACCTCATCATCAGCAAACGTTATGGCCGTAGAATCAGAGGCAAGAAATTGATTAGCAGGCTTCTCCAATTCAAGATTCCCAACTTCTCGAATACGCTTCATCTAATGGTCCACACACTCAGATTGCCATTGCCAACATTTAAGCAATTCAAGAATGCAAATCTCTCTCTCTCTCTACTGCAATTATTATTAGAGTCCCTCCCTATTTCCTAAAACCTGGTACACTCGGGGCCCCAGGAATTGAGGCGCATGACCTTGCCGTGGGACTCCTCCAGGCGCTTCAAGCCCTTGGCCATGGCGGAAGAAGAAGGGGCAGAGAGCTTCTTGGCCTGAGAATAGGACCTGAGGTTGCTCTTGACGTGCTGGTGGACCGACCTGATGGGGTAGTTCCACCTCGCGAAGCCCTGGTCCTTCAGTGCCTCCACGGCCGCTATGCTGGCCGCCACGATCCACGCTTTGCCACCTGCATTCATCTTCCCTTCGATTCCCTTTGAAAGGAGGGCGAATAAAGGAGGAAAAGGGTTTCCTGTTTTTGTGGGGGTGGGAGCGGATCTGAAATGGGTGCTCGTTTATATATAGCAGGGACAGAGACAGAGACAGAGACAGAGACAGAGTTTGGAGTGTTTCACAAGGGGGTGGTCATTAAAGAAAACCAGAGGCACTAATCACCAGGCAGTAATGAAGGAAAGAGCCGCGGTTTTGCCCTTTTTCCTTCTGGTTTGGGCCCAAATCAGCTGCCAGCCTAGGGCTGGGAACTTGCTTAACCGTCCCTGGTTGACGCGTCGATAGAAATTAAATCGGGCCCCAGAAAAAAAGGGCAAAAAAGAAAAAAAGGGGCTTTGCCTTCCTGATGAGAGAAAAATCTTGATCGCGGGCGAACACATTGTTACATCCTGAAAAATTAGTCCATTTGGGATTTATGAAATACTTGGATTTTATGAATGTACTCGTAGTCGGTTCGCCGGGCGATCATTCACAGGAATGCTAACCATTAGGGAAAGGCTAATAGGGGAATTAAATTCGCGCGACTAAAGGAAATTCTATCGTGAATGGATTTCGACCATTAAATCGGAAGTGATATTTTGAGCATGTTGGCCGATCCAAGGATAGTTAGGGGTCGGTTCGCCATTTGTCCTAGTAGTGGATCGCGGGTGATTCCGTTGACCACGAAACGACTTGACGAATGATTTTGAAATTATACCGACCGATCGTACCCCTCGGATCAAGTGATTGATCTTCGCGATTTTAATGACAACCGAGGTCGTCACGCACCGAACGGACTTGCACGTGACTCGATTCAGTATCGGTCATGAGTCGATTCTGCGAATTTCCCCAGAAGCCGCCCGTTAGCTCGAAAGCGCTCGAGTTGCGTTTAATAGAATTTAATTATGGAATTTTTGCCCAAATTGGACACCGGAAAATCAGGAAGTCACGCCGGAAGGTTAGGATGACGTTGCACGTGACACGTGTGAATTTTTGGTGCGCTCAATTCCTTCGGAAAAATTCGATTTGGACAAGAAACGGAGAAAGTGACCAAAATACCCCTAGGATTTATTAAAGGGTTAGTTGTGTAAGAGAAGGGCATTTTGATAAATTGCCAAAAGTTGGTCAAAATTGATTTTTAAGCCCTTGACCCCCTTTCTCTCTCTACTCTCTCTTCTTTCTCCCCCTCTTCCCGTGAAATCCCCCGTCCTCCGTGAGTCCCCTCCCCCTCCACCGTCTACTCTCTCTCTTTCTCCCCCACCGCTGGCACCGCCGCTCACCGCCGCTTGCCACACCGCCGGACCGCCACCTTGCCGTCGCCGTGCCGCCCTCCAACCTCACCGTCTCTCTCTCTTTCCCCTCTCTTTTTCTCTCTCCCCGTGACCCATTTCCGGCCGTGCAAGACCACACCGCCGCCGTGCAAGCCGGAAACCACCGTGAGTTGTTCGCCTTCGCCGTAGAGCGCCACCGCTTTCCGTTCTAGCCGTTTTAGCCTAGAACGCGGTAAGTCATACTCTAATCCCGATTTAGGATTTTGGGTATCGCCGAACAATTTGATTTTGGGTGAAATTGGACTTGTGCGGGTGCGAAATGTTGGCGCTTTAGACCGGGAATGTATGGCGGGCCTTAAGGAATTAATTTGGAATTTTTGGAGGACGATTTGAGGGAATTTTAAGCTAAGAATCACTGTTTACGAGCTGTGATTCACTGTTCACGAGGCTGTGAAGCTCGGTTCGGGACGCAAGTTGGATTTTTAGAACCGGTATTTAATGGCGAGGAAGTCCCGTGAAGGACCGGAATCAATTTGGCGTCGTTTGGTGGGAGAAAAATAGAAATTTATGTGTTTTACGTACGTTTTAATTATAATTGAGTTGTGGTGGTAGAATTGCGTGTGCATCTGTGTAATGGGCTGGTGTAAATATGTTTGATTCGTGCACGTTTGGGTTCAATTGAAATGACTGTTCAATTGACCATGAGATATGCTGAGTTAGCCAACGCGGGTAAGTCGCGCCTAAACCTAATTTAGGACTTTGGGTATCGACGGGTAATTCCGGACAAAATCAGTATGAAATTAGGTGCGGAATTACATGGATAGGGAGTGGAAATTTTATGGCGGGCCTTAAGAATTAATTCGGGTAATATTTATTGGAAATTCAGAAAATTAGGGGCTGCGAATTACTGTTCATTTGCCTAGAATCACTGTTCACTGCTGTGGATTACTGTTCACCGAGCTGTGATGGTCCGATTGGGACGCAAGTTGAATTTTTGGAACCTAGAAATTATGGCGAGAAAGTCCCGTGAAGGATCGGAATTAATCCGATGCCATTTGGTTGGAGAAAATTGGCAATTTACGTGCTCTGGGCATGTTTGAATTATTCTGGATGGGGTTGATTTAATTGAGTATTTGTTTGTGTGTTATATGAGGTAACTCGAGGATGAAATGAGTATGTTTCGAGGCTGGAGTGAGACTGAATAGAGTGTCAGATGTTGTGGGATGGAATTGGCAAACTTAGGGCTCGATTTAAGGCCAGGTAGTGTCGGTTTGGTGTGTGGTAGTATGGTTAGATTGTGATGTTTAATAGGCATGGAAATGTCGAAATTATGCCTATGAACGTGGCTGTGATTGTGGGCCCATGAGCAGCCTTGTGTGTTTATTGAACCGTGGTTTGATGGATTGAAATGTGCTTGATTATGTGCACGCGTGGGCAGATTGAATTAATTGTTGAAATTGGCCATGTCGAATCTTGAATGAGCATGTTTTACGTGTTAATTTATGCGTGCACGGGCCGCGTGTGATGAGCCAGTTGATTGTGGTAAATGCTTGATGAGCATGTGCATGAGTAAGAAAGAAAAGTGGCGTGGCTTGTGATTGTGGAAGTTATGTGAAGGTGTGTAAGTGCGAGAATGGGATCGGGCCGAGTATCATAAGCTTGGGCGGCGATCACGTACGGGTCTGTTGCATTTGGCACAGGCTAAGGCTTGAAAAAGCAAGAATGAGAATCGGTCCGAGGCACGATTAGCTCGGGTGAGACCGGGATTGGACCGAGGCATCCTAAGCTCGGGTTCCAATCACGTAGGCTGTCGCATTTGGCGCGAGCTGAGTTGGGATCGGCTGGGGCGTGTGATGCTCGGGTCGCGATTGGGGCCGAGGCGTGACGGGTACGCGGGCGGATGTGGTGAATGATCGCGGTGTACAGGCGTGTACGTTTACGCGGGTCTGGCGAGTGATGTGGGAAGTGATGAATGATCGCAGTGTACGAGGCGTGTACGTTTACGCGGGTCACTGGCGAGTGATGTGGGAAGTGATGAGTGGTCGCAGTGTACCGAGGCGTGTACGTTTACGCGGGTCTGGCGAGTGATGTGGGAAAGAGGAATTGAGAACGGAAAGAATGTGTGCGAAATGAGAATTGTACATGCGTGTGTTTGCATCTGATGTAATTGTGATCGAGTGCGGGTGTGCGCATGATCAAGCCTGACCATATTAATTGATGTACCTGTGTTGTGATGATTTGATGTGCGTGGATGTGTGTGTTTGTGCTTATGTCTGGAGGTACGTGATAGCTAGGTTGGGTTTAGGGGTGTACTTGCTGAGAAGTGTCTCACGGTTGTTTTCAACCAAATATTTGAACCCAAACTGAGCCGTGAATAATCCGCCACCACCTCCAGTACGTTTTGGAGTTCCGTGCATACGAGTATGAGACAGCTGAGTTTCAAATGGGAGACGGGATGATGTGGAGTTAGATTCGAGTGGACGCCAAGCAAGGGGTGTTAAAGGTTGTTACGGGTTGTATGGCAGGTCATCGGTTTTTGTTCTTACTCTTGAAGGGTTCAAATGTGTGCACCGGTAAACTAAGGCTTGTATTTTGTAAATATGGTGATACAAGTTTGACCGAGTAATGAATATGTATATATTCTCCCACTGTTTCCCCAGTTAAATTTTTGTTCGGGTGTTTTATGGATTCCGTGTGCGCAATTAAATCTCGATGTTTAGATGAGGTCGGCGACAACCCTGGGGACGTCGCAACCGATCGACCGGAGGCGGGATGTCGCGAGCTCGACGGGAGCTCGGGCGTGACACACATATTATATAAATATCAAGCCAAAGTGGCTCAACCGGCGAGGTTTGAACTTCCCGTGTACCACGTTCAGCTTCGAATCTCGCTACCAACAGTTCCCTTTGTTTGGCCACCTGTAAATCCGATAACTTCTTCTCCTCTTAAACTTTTTCATGCCAATATATTATTTATAAATATGAATGATTTTTTGTGATTGTAACTTTATCAATTAGAGTGATAGGAGGCAAAATAGGATCGTTATACCAAAATCACTTCTGAATTAATTTATTTTGTTGTTATATTTTCTTTTTTTCACAATGTAGAATTTGCGGTAGATCGTAGCGTGCAAGCTAACTTTGTTATCGTAGCACCTCTCCATTCTTCAACTCAATTTTTTTGGCACTATAATTTCACGTCTTTTCTAACAAAGTCCTTGTAACTCTAATATATTTAATCAAGTTCTTTTGCGATCATAAATTTTCTAACTGAGCCACTCTGACGTCATATCAGGCCAAAATTCAACTGATGTAGCTTTCAAGTGCGGCGCACATACGGCTTCTCTGATGTAGATGTCCTCGTTGCGAAATTTTAATTACGTCATCTTCCGATTTCATATTGCCTAACTTTTTCTGTGGTGGTGTCCATGTCTCATCCACCTTGACCAAATACTTTTCACAATGTGCATTGGTATTGCAAGACGATCACGCTAGCTAGAATTGGTTGAATTTGGTGTCAAGTAGACTTAATTAGAAATTTTGTGGGTTCAAAAAAGTGAAAGTATAGGATAGGAAGTAATATATATTTTTTATTTTATAATTAGTTCTAAAAAAGTAATAATTGATAAGACTGGCCGGATTTCCTTGTTGTCTCGAGCCTGCTTATTTGAACGTTCGGGCTTGGAAGGGCTGAGGAGGAGGCTACTTGCTCAATGTTTAATTCGTAGTTGGCTTCATCAACGGTCACTTCCGAAAGTAGAGACAAAACACTTTTAAATCAATTAATTGCGTTGCAATAACTCATGTTCCAAGCACTTATTTGAATAATTCATCAACATTCGCTTCTAAAATCTGACCCTTTTAAAACTGTTGATTGGACTATGTAAGCACATAATAATGATGAGATGTGCTTCGTGTTCGAAGCATGTTCATTGTAGATAAAAAGATTGTCTGGAACTTTCCATCATTAGGTAGGCATCGGCAAACATGATACGGCATCAGTTTAACTGTCGAAAAGTTAAACTCCCATAATATCCACATGCAAACTAGTCGAGACTTTCGACGTCACGCGATTGATCCGGATGAAATAAAAAAGAATCTAGGATTGAAGCCTAGGAAAATTTTTGGTTTGCGCTCTCATCAGGCTCTACCATGACTCAAACTAGATGAAACACACCAGGCTGATTAACAGGGGAAAAATTGACCTGCTTTGCCAAAATAGTCTAGTGGGAACCATTGCATGCTGGCATGAGACAGACATGAATGGTTGATTTGTCACAGTGATTCCCACGCCTTCTGATCTTTGCAACATAAAGACAGCGAAGAAGACAAGCCAGCAAAGAATGTCTCGGTTTGATCAGCATTGTCATTACGGTACCTTCTAGCACTAGACTTTTAAGAAAATAACTCCTATTAAACAATCAAATGAGAAAAGATGGTAAAACTTTCAGTGCACTGACCTTTCTCTTTACCATACTTGCAAGAATATCAAGTCTGTTCGATATCCCGTGATTCAGCATCGCATTACAGTTCATGCCCCTGCATTGCCTTTGACAAGAGTAGGTGAGAATCTAATCTAGTGGCAGGTTCTGCCGTAACACTTCCTCCACTGGACAGGATTAAGCTAGACAGAACAGTCTCCAATGCATCAATTCCCTTTGTTATTCTAGAGGCTCAAGCACATCAAATATCTTACCAGCAATAATGTAAACTCTATCGGCATTATACCTTCTCTTCTTTTCCCACTTTCATGAGCATTTCCTCAATCATATTGCCTCCTGCATTCTGCTAACTAATGGGTGAAGAAGGTTCATGTAGACTTTTAGACCGGCAAAATCGAGGGGCGAGCATTTTCACTTGACCCGCATGGGAAATCTCCACAGTGACACTTCCATCGTCAACTGGCAATGGTTGTCTCCAGGGTTCCCCATCAATTCTCATGTAGGTGTGATCTGCTGCTCCTTTTTTGAACTCGAAACGAACTCCACTTGTCTACAGGGGGGAACAAGAATTTTGGAGGGAAAAAATGAGGCACATCCACACAGACACAGGTTCACCTAGTCCAGCAAAAATTGTTTCCCCAGGCGGCCAATCAATGTTGAATTAGTTTGTGTAATCTGAACATATATATGAAATTTCTACCTGTGCAAGGTGAGTCCCATGTCCTTCTGGGAGTAGTAATATTAGTCCATGCCAAGCATCTCTAAAACCAACGATCTCAATTAGGCCATCATCAACATATGGAGGTGTCAAGTCTCTCTACAACTCGGGCCAAAAAATAGTCTTTCTATAAGAATTAGGAACCCAGAGCACAGAATGCATTGCAAATGAATTTTCTGCAAATCATCTGCAAAAGGATAGCAGCAAACTGAAAACCAACCTCATGTGATTTCTTAGGGTCTGGCTTTCCCCAAGGATTGAGTCCACCAGAAAAGCTGGGCAAGTTGAGGCACACAATGGAACGGATACTGCAATTTACATGGTAATACACTAATATGTAAGTATAGAATGACGCACTAAAAGTCTAGATATAATTTCTAAAATTACTTAACTGAAAAATGAGTACAAGCTCATAAAAGCGCACGTGAAGTGCATTATGGGCATGCACAAACTTCCATGCCACAGGTAGGTAGAAAGGAATAACCTGCGAGGTACATAAAGATCCTCCCATTGGCCTTGTCTTCTCATTATTCTGACATTCACCAGCTGAGCTATGTTCCTGTATAAAATTTATTATAACGAACGGCAAGTAACTCACAAAGGGAAGGAGGGCAGTCAGATAAGTAGATAACTAGGGTCTAAAAGTAATACGATACAAATTCACAGAAGTGCTGGCCGTTAAGGTATGACCATGATCATAGTCAACGAACAGAGTAAAAGTTTATTATAAAATAAATAGTAGCCATGGTTTTTCCAAAAAAAGTTGAATGCACGATACAATCACATGGTTTCACCGAGCTAGAATTATGGTTTGAGAAGCAAAAGTAAGGTCTAGCTAGACACTAGAGTTATAGTTCAGTAAGCCAATGTAAGGCCAAGTTCCAGAGAAGACAGCCGCATTTTCAACAGAGACATGCCTTAACGTTACATCCTCAGATATTGACCACTAATGATAGCAAGCTGTACTTCAATTTAACTACAAATAATCTAGCCGCTTTCAATCATTCAAAACAATCTCGAATCACTGAAAGGAAGTACCAACAAAAAAGTTTTGATAATGCCATCTGGCAGGTGTTTATCTCCAACTTCAATTGTTAATCACTCAAAAGACGATAGCAAATGGGAAATGGAAGCAGATACGGGATACGAAACTGTTAAGCATCACTACAGAAACTAATAAAAAGACTCACCGTGAAGAAGGATGAAAACAAGATGTGCAAAACCATCCTTGAGTACATCCAAGCTTAAAATAATTGCTCTGACAAGCCAAAAACAGAAGCAGTTGGCAGTAAGTCTCACCATTTGCTCATTGAGATGATGAAGGAAAAAAATAACCTAAAACTTGTTTCAAATGCTTTCAAATTGAAAAATTCTAGCTTCGGTTCCTTGTCTGTTAATGATCAACTCCTCGTTACTGCATAGGGGAACTTTATATTTGGAGACACCATCAAAAGTGAGTGCAGGTGCAAATAAATCATAATTTCTCAATGATACCAAGTAAGGCTTTGTATGTTTCCTCGAAAATGACGATTTGAAAAACTTTTTTTCTTAAAAATGATCGCTTGTATTGCTTGAAATAATTAATTAATGAAAAATATTTTCATTATTGACAACAATTTATGTCTAAATATTTTCATTCACGATGAAAATATTTTTCATCTATTCATTTTTATAAGTGATACAAACGATCATTTTTAGAAAAATATTTTCCAAATTATTAATTTTCCGTGAAACAAACGGAGCCTAAAATTGGAAATGGTATCTGAATCAGTGGATGGATTGATGTATACTTCAAATGTATTGGTAGACAATAAAATCCAAATGCAGGAGTTCTTCTACATAATTTCAATCAGTAACGGTGGCAACTGGTAGGTGATATTTGACCATTAATGTGGCAAATTAAGTGAAATTGGGTAACAGGAGTTGCTTAAACTCTAGATTTGCTTTCCAAACTAAACGGTTTCCAGTCCTTGAGCTTGACAAATAAAAAGCATTGCCTTTATCGTTACCTCAATCTTATGTGATCAGTTTTCGGGCGACAGTAACAATTTTGGAAAATTATGCCGGAGAAGGAACCCTACAGCCAAATAAAATATAACAACTGGGACTGAAAACTACATCTAGTGTGAGACTGAAACAAAATTGGATTCATTACACCGTATGGAGTAAAAAGAAGTGAATCGAAACTTGAAAGCTAGCTTTGAAAATGGCTAATAGAGCAGTAAGGTGGAGCAAGCCATGTGGTTTCATGCTATATACCATACGTGCATTTTCTACAGGTGTATCTTGAATAAACGGATTGCTAGAACAAGAAGAAGGCTTCACTGAGAAACAAGCAAGACATATAGTATCTTTTTTCAGCTGCTTTTAACAAATATTTGTCTTGAGGATTGTGTTTGAGTCTGATGATATAAGTACAATCACTTCCAACTGCCTTGAGATGATCAAATCTTGAATTCAGAAAAAAATCACTATGAACTCAACTATTTAAGACAAAATAGGTCCTTCAAAAAGAAAAAAAGTGCAACATACCAGAAGATTTCGCATGCAAGACAAACAGTGTCAGTTTGCAATTTTTGAATAATTTAGTAATAAGTGAGAAGAGTACTTGATTAACTAACTGGTTCTTAAACTTCTCCGGGTGTAACTTCCGGTCTGAGTGAAATGCATATGACACTTGCGCATCCATTCCTGACAAGAACAATTAATTGCTATAGAGATGAGTAGCTACATTCATCTTTTACTAATTTCATCAAATAATCAGTCAATCTCACTCAAGGCCTCGGATGAATGCTAGCATTTCAATTTTAGTTATTGAAGAACTATAACTTATTGATCTAATTCTGTTTCTCACCCGTGCTAAAGTAGTTCCAAAATCTTCCACGAAATGTGTGAAACCCATCCTGATAATCATCAGTGGAATAATAGCAAGTAAATAGCAGTGAATTCTCCAAATGAATCCAAAGAGCAGGATAAATAAATTAGGCCAGCAGAGAGTCAAGTTATAAGATACTGCCATTTGACTACAGGTGTTAAATGTCTAAATCCAAAAGATAGTAATAACCTAGCCGGTTGACCTATCGATTTCATAAAGGCAGAAGCTGTCCAGCATTAAGCAACTCATTCAGTTCATACTCTTTTGGCTAGCAAACTCATCAGATCAAGCTATCAAAAATCTCGGGTTAACTCTGTTACTTTGAGACTATAACTGAGCACCTTGTGTAAAAATTACACATCAGTGGAATTTTGGCAGCCAAAATATGTCTATACACCTATGTCTTCATCTACTTTGCAGAAAGTTAAGTCTAGGAAGAAATGCTTTTTGATGCAATCAACAAGACCGTCAAGTTGCATAATTCACAGTCCAGGATGGTACATTATACAGAATTTTTCTTTACAAAAGCAAATTCAGTCCCTATATGCTACTATAAATTTAACAGGTGGAAATTTCTAATATTATTCACACTCTGCATCATCAATTAGGTCATGGCACAGCTTATAGTATAGATAGAAACTGCCATATGTAAGGTATCTGGCTGAAGGACCTGTTGGAATGCATTCAATGAATTGGTTTGTCCACTTGGTTCGATTGGATCACATGAACCTTCCTTAAGAGCCCTCATTTGCATGACCAAATGCCAACTGAAATTTAGTGAAATTCATTATTAACATAATGCAGTTCAGAGGATGTGCCGAGTGGCAACCTCTAAATATAATTTTATGTTCTGACCGAGCAAATCAGTCCTTCGGGAAAGTTCAAAAGGAAAGAAAACAGTTCTGTGCACTTCATTTCTCAGGCTCATGATTCTGTTTATAGGCTCTTCACTAACACAACTCAAAAGTTCAATGCAATGTGGCTCGCACTTTTTGCTCTAAGATGTGATAATATTGTTTAATCGAAACTTTATAGGATGACAAAGCATACAGCATCAAAATATTAAACACAGCTCGAGAAGTAAGAAGTAAGGGAGTCCAAAGTCACTATGAAGCTAAAACAGCAGGACACGAGAATTGATGACACGATATTTTGGCCACTCCAGGAAAAAATGATACCGATAGTCTTGTTTGATGAGCTTGCCTATATACATCCACTGCTATTGTCCTAGTAAGTCAAATAGAATATATATAAACTCAAAACATTTACCCATCTATTTTCATCTCTTTTGCAGTCTTCACTTGACTTAGGAATGACATCACAGATCGCCTATCTACCCCAGGATTTTTCTTTCCCTGAAATTAGAAAATTAAATGTCATAAATTATCAGAGTCACAATTCCTACAAGAATGCTAGAAATCACAGTTCTTTCAGGGTGCAAAAAAAAAAAAAATTTCAGTGGGGAACTTTCTATCCCAATAGGTAGGCATTATGTGCAACCCATGTTTTTTTTTTTTGGGTCGAAATGTGCAACCCATGTTAGAGCGAATGAAAAATGACAATTTTTAAGGTTGTATCCAGACATTGCAATTTCACGATGAGGCCACAAGTAAAAGCAAACAAAAACCTACAAGCGTGCCCATCCCTACACTCTAATACTATGTTTGGGAAGCTAGAGAAACGGTGGGTTAGAAATTCGAGGAGAAAATTTTAAATTCTCCCCTCCCCCTCTCACAAAAACAAAATCTCTACCATTATCACCCCAATTTTCATCCCCTCCCATTTCTTTAGCTTTCCAAACAGAGCTTAAAAGAAAGTTAAGCACCATAATGGATGAAGGCAGATAGCTGTTTCTGAGACTTGAAAAGAAAGACATTTCAAGACTAGGAAGTCCATTTACTTGCTCCAATGGTACCAAATATGAAGTCCTACCCAGCCAAACGAAAATGGAAGGTTATTTCCGGTTCCAAGAGGCACAGTAGCAACTGGAGGTGGTTGAGGTAATTTGAGATCAGAAACTACCCCAAGAAGCCAGTTAGCGGTGCCGTCCCCACCTGCAACCTAGACATACATGCAGAAAGAGAACAACTATCATCTACGGGCGTACATGCGGAAAGAGAAGGTACATGATGCTTCTGCACAAGGAACATAAAACATCTTTGTGCATTGTGTTCGAAACTGAACAAGTGACTTACAATTAGCTTCAGTCTTTTCTGGATTTCACTGGCCAAAGGATCACCATCCTGTTTCAGAATTTCTAGATTTTCATAAAGCTGTTGTAGCACCTCTCCAGGAGCTGTCTCTCCCAAATCAAAAACCTGATAAACCATACACATCCCACATGACCACAGGGAAAAAAGTAAAATTCAATTAAACAAGAGAGTAGATGGTGTTGGAATTGACTTTCTACTGTAAATAGTAATCTAAGCTATTATTATCTGTCTCCTATTAGATTTCTTGTACCATTGATTTTTGAATGGATATGTCTCAACACAGCTTATTGCTAACTGAGTAAAATCAAGTAATGCAGTGCAGAGCCTTTTTCAAATTATCTTTCCGCGACTGTCTTTAGAGCTATTTTTCATGATTCTGATTTATTCATCTTCCAAACTAACATCACGTAACTCGTGCAATACTATGAATCTAGTATACGATTCGATGAGCACAACATCAAATTCCTTGTGCTCTATCTGTTCTTGCAGCGATGAGGCGGAATGGGGACACTAACGAATTTAGCTATGGAGAAGGTACGAAGATTACCTGATTTTTGTTAAGGAGAGTCCTATAGGTAACAATAAGATCTCCACCTCGCCGACCACCACTGTTGGAGTTTACGAACACTACGACCGGACAAGCCGGCACATGGGAAACATCCCCGACCTCTTCCAATCGGCGTGCTAGGACGTAATCCGGTATGTAGAAGTCCTTCAAGATATCCTCTGAAGGGTAGCCGCCCATGACAAACTTCCAACTGGCAGGTAGCTAGCAACGAACAATCAAATCCCAAGTTCGAAACAACACGAAAGAGATCACGACAAGCGAACGAGAAGCAAACAACAGCATCCCGATACGGAATTCATCCGAAATGACATGCACGGGCGGCATGGAGGAAAAGTTCGGATTCTACGACACAGGCGCAAGTGGTGCAACATCGTGCGAGCTGAGCGCGAGAGACAGGCGGATGATCGAGCGAGGCCGAGCGGCGAGAGATGCTTTTACCTGGGGAGCCCGGAGGATGGTTGGAGTGAGCGGACTGGAGAAGATGCTCTCAGATGTCACGCAGCTTGATCAATACCGAAAGGTCGTCGTCATCGTGGAACTGGAAACCCACCATTATCGGCTACATTGAATCCTACGAGGAGTTCGTGGCTAAAGCAATTGCTTGCTGACGTTGTCGCGCAGGTTTTTGAGTGCGCAAATAGCGACAGAACAGGAGATCGAGCTGTGCCACGTAACACCACACGCGGCAACTCGTGCTTCGCTCCTAAAATACGAAAAGGAAATTAGCTTCGGACTTTCACCCCCTCCTCATCCGCCAGAATTACCCGATCGATTCTAAACTTGTACAAATATCAATTTAATTTTAAATTTTTTAATTTTATCAATTTAAATTCATACTTTTCGACCTTTTGGAGCGCCGCATGGTATAAGTTTAGACTTTCACCACCTCCTGATGTTGTGATGAATTTGGTGATATGATCTCATTCATGTTCGGGATAACAACATAAATAGTTGAACTTTGACTTAATAAGCAATATGATCACTGAACTTTTAATTTGTTTGATATAATTCTTGAACTTTAGCTTAATATTCAATGTGATCTTTGAACTTTTTACTTGTTCAATGTAGTTTTTGGGCTTTTGATAACTATATGTGTATGTTCAATGTAATCTTAGAACTTGAATTAATGGAATGACTACATTGAATAATTTCATATAGTTTATGGACTAAATTGGATGCTCCTTCTACCTCTACGTTAGGAATCCTTGATGACCTAGTTGCTGACCAACTCTTGTCCCAGTGGGAAATTGATAGCCTTAAGGATGGAGATAACTCAGATAGCTCTACTGACAACACAAAAGAAGGATTTCGATATAAAGTAGGCATGTGATAAGTGTGTGCAATATATATGGTGTGAATTATATGTGTGAAAGTGTCTGTACCAGAGAGTCAGTACATTTACTTTAAAATATGCTTGTACTATCTAGATGGGAATCCCATGGGGGGAATCCCACATAAGTTTATGCCTATATAAGGTAGTGTATTAATAGGGCAACCTAGTCCCAGAAATAAATTCGTGTTGTGTTCTAAACTCATTGCTTTTTAAACCCTCTCCATCCTCTTCTAGAATGATGCTTTATAATTAGGATCTTGTTGTTAGTTCGGTAAGGTGATATGATTAATTATGCTCTCCACTTGCCATAAGTGTTCGTTTTTGAGAAGCAAGTCTTAAGAGACTAAAAGGAAGTTCCTTTGAAATGGGGACGATATTAAATAAATTAAAAGTTCAGGAACCATATTGAGTTCATAAACCACATTAAACAGATTAAAAATTTATAGACCACATTACATATTATACCAATATTACATATTATACCAAAATTCAAAGACAATTTATGATTAAACAGGCACAATTGCTTATTGGGGGGGGGGTGTTTTGAACCGGGTCCTGGCGTCTGTTCGCCATATTTCAACCCGTTGACTCCGGACAACGGTCAACACCAGCAAAGGCTCTGGCAATAGCACTTTCGTTTCTCCCTTTTGCTTTGCCCACTCTATCCGTTTGCTTGCCTATGCTTATAATAAAATCTCCATTTCCAAATCTCCTCTCCGGCGACGGCGACGGCGACAATGGTCGCAAAGTTCTTGCTTAAACCTTATCACCGACTATCCTTTCCCATTCTACCGTCCAAATGCCTCCTCTCTCCTCACTCTAAACCCAGCTCAATCCTCTTCGCCATCACCTCACGCGCCGCCGCCGACATCCCTCAACTCCACGCCGCCGGGTCACCTCTACCCTACGGACCTTCGCTCCGGAAGGGCACCGTACCCTCGCAATCCTTCAAAGACTTTGATCAGGAGGAAGGATGCGAAGATTCGCTCGACGAAGGGAGCTTCGCCCGGGCTTTCAGGATTTCCGCCCTGCGAGTGCCGTCCAAGGACTGCTTCGCCCTCGAGAGCCGCCTCCGCGGGCACCTCCTCAACTGGCCTCGCGTCTGCAACGTCGCCCGGGTTCCAGGCGACGAAGTCGAAGACGATGTCGCCGAGCTCATGGGTAGCCGGAACGGATCCCGGGAATCCGGTGATGGAGAGGGTTTAGAAAGGAGAATTTATGGGAAAGCCGAGGGTGATGGGGAGAGATTGAGTGGTGTTCTGTACAGGGAGAGGCTTGCGCAGACGTTCAATTCACAAGGTTTCGTGAACTTTAGGAACTTGGCGAAGATTTCGCGGCCGAAGAAGAGGAAGAAAAGGGAGGCTAATGAGAACAGAGAAGGTGGTGTCAAGAGGAATAAATTTGCTGTGGTGGAGGTGATCGACGATGAAGAAAGGGAAGGAGAGGATTTGAGGGGTTTGTTGGGGGATGATTTTAAGGGGAGAAGGTGGAGGGGTTCGACGAGATTGTTGCTTCTGGATGACAGCTATGCCGAAAAATGCTTGGAGGATATGCCGGAAGCTGTCAAGGTGGGTTCTTTTTGGTGCTTAAGAGACTTGAAGTCAGTTGAAGTTATTTGGTTTCTCGTATGTTGTTTCTCCATTCGTAATGATAACATCATCGCATTGTTGTGCCAGGCCGTATTGAAAGAAGGCGAAAGAGATGGCGCCAGCTCAATCGAGCTTGTGTCATGCACGCTGACTCTGTTCTATGATTACTGGTCGATGAATGAGGTGATTATACCAACACCGTTGCAAGTTCCTGTTTTTGCAAGCAGTAAGGCTATATAGCACGGCTTTGTCCTAGCCATCAGTTGGATGCTTTTGTTTTCTTATGTGAGACTAGGCTTTTATTTCGATTGTGTGATTTGGTAATACATGCTAGCAGCTCATTATTATTAAAAACTTGGAGGACTTACTGTACAAGTACTTCGAATTGGTTTTCCTCTCATTCTATGTTCATATATGCAGATTTTGGAGGCCTTGCTACCTAAGGGGATGATTGTTCCTTCGGCTTTTGAAACTGTAGGACATATTGCGCATTTGAATTTGAGAGAAGAACATGCACCATACAAGAAGCTCATAGCAAAGGTGTTTACTGCTCAGTCTTGGATATTAGGGTTACCATGCGTTAATTTTTATGATATACCATAACAGTATTATGTGATCTTTCAGGTAGTTTTGGATAAAAACAAGCCAAAGATTCAAACAGTTGTCAATAAGATGGACATGATTCATAATGATTATAGGACGATGCAGCTTGAGGTTTTGGCTGGAAACCATTCCCTAGTGACTACTGTTGTTGAAAATGGGTTGAGATTTAGTGTTGATCTTGCAACTGTGTATGTTCTCATATCCTTCTAAGTTGTTTATTTAGATCGAGTTTTAGAAGTTGAATGTTTGATAAATTCAATAACAGGTACTTCTCAGCGAGGTTTCAATAACCTTTTCCAATTAAAAGTTCATGAAAATATTGAGAAGCTCCATCTTGTGTCCCAGCAATATGACCAGTACTTTTGTCACAGTCAATGTAGATAAATTACTAGCTTCCGTTCAACTACAATTTTTCTGTATTTGGCATGAATGATATCTGGAGTGGAAGATTCAGAATTTTTCAGTTTCATTCTGGCACTCTGGGACATTATCTTTTCCTATCTCATGCAGTTACTGGAATTCGAGGCTAGCGACTGAAAGGCAGAGACTTTTGAGTGGCTTCACTCGCAATGATGTTGTCTGTATGTTCTTTTTTCAGTTGCATTTGCGGTTATCAATCTTTGTAATGTTACACTTGAGTCTACTCTGTAATGATAGTTCTGACGTAACCATGATTTTGGTGTGTGTTATCTGGTTACCAACCCACATTTTTAGTTGTCACTTGTACTTTTAATGCTGAAAATTAATATACAGGAAGATGTAATAGAAAATCTGAAGCAGTTATTATTAATAAGTGGGTGGAAGACTTATCAAGCAGTAAGAGCAGCGTACCATGATTTCCTTGATGTAATTATGTGATGCCATTTCTTTATTTTCTGGCTGAGTTCCTTCGTCCCACCGTTATGATTCTGACTCGTTGACATATAAATGACTGAAATGTTAGGCGACTTGTTTGTTAAGAACTAAGTTTAAGTAAAAAGTACATTTTTTGTTTTCCCTCAAAATTTAGAATATATCATATATTTGAAAAAAAATTATGAAAAAAATATATGTGAACCTACTTGTCAATATTTGTATATTGTGAAAGCAGCGTACCATGATTTCCTTGATGTAATTATGTGATGCCATTTCTTTATTTTCTGGCTGAGTTCCTTCGTCCCACCGTTATGATTCTGACTCGTTGACATATAAATGACTGAAATGTTAGGCGACTTGTTTGTTAAGAACTAAGTTTAAGTAAAAAGTACATTTTTTGTTTTCCCTCAAAATTTAGAATATATCATATATTTGAAAAAAATTATGAAAAAAATATATGTGAACCTACTTGTCAATATTTGTATATTGTGAAAGCAGCGTACCATGATTTCCTTGATGTAATTATGTGATGCCATTTCTTTATTTTCTGGCTGAGTTCCTTCGTCCCACCGTTATGATTCTGACTCGTTGACATATAAATGACTGAAATGTTAGGCGACTTGTTTGTTAAGAACTAAGTTTAAGTAAAAAGTACATTTTTTGTTTTCCCTCAAAATTTAGAATATATCATATATTTGAAAAAATTTATGAAAAAAATATATGTGAACCTACTTGTCAATATTTGTATATTGTGAAAGTTTCAGGTGTTTAGGATTAACAAAAACAAAGTGCGTCCGCCTCAAGATTTAGATCAAGCAAAAAGTAAAAGTCTATCCTGACATGATGTTTGTTAGCCACCACAATTTATCTTGCCTGAAAGTAACAGTTTGAGAAGGTCGGAAGTTGCCTGCAGCAAGGAAAATGTACTGGTGCAGCACCTTGTCACTAGTGGATTGCAAGTTGCACTTTCTCTATGGATTAGGGCAATACATCTTCTAGGTTTTACCATGCCTTGTCAACTAAAGAACTATCTCACATCTCAACTATAGTTTGATTAGACAATAATTGAAGCCAGAGTGTGGGTCCTTTGTATTGTTTTGTGAACTGTCCTGGTATTTCTGGAGCATTTTATTTCTAATACTTTCCCTTCATACTCGTTAGTCCAATAAAATTCGTTTCTTCATTTTACTTTCTGTGTTGCCCTGCTGTGGAGATCTTCACATTTGTGACTACAGATCTGCTTATTATCTCCCTATTCTCGGTGGAAGTGCTTAATGAATTATTATTTTGTAAATGACAGGTGATGTGTTTTGTGGTGTTGGACCAATAGCCATTTCTGCAGCAAAGATAGTCAAACGAGTCTATGCCAATGACTTGAACCCTCATGCAGTTGAATATCTGGAAAGGAACATTGTACTCAACAAACTTGACAGGAAAATTCGGGTAATATGTAAGCCAATGAAATACTAGAGCTGTGTAAAAGTCCAAAATCAGATTTTACTAAACAAACTAAAGCAGAAAACGTCTGTAGGCCTAAACTCAAATAGGAAACCAGTTTTAATAATCTAGTTAGTCAGTTTACTCTGGTATCTTTTGAGATCTAACTTTGGTTTATGAGTTTCAATAGAGGTATCAGATTACTTGACATGTCTGGCATCAACATGAATTCTCTCAGAAACTTGGGTTTAAGATTGCATGAATATAGAGGTGTCAGATTGCATCAGGATCGTTCTTTCTGGATCTTTGACATCTTATGCTGTTGACATTCGTGAGGATCGGTGTGCATGTTGTACTCGATGATGTGATTATATGTGAAGCTAACATGAAAATATATTTCACGTGATAAGAGATGTTTTTCTTAGTTCCGAGTTATTTTAGGATGTGGTTTCACATATCCTGTTTTCATTATCAGACCTTAGTGTGTTATTAATGATTTACTTTTGTAGTGTCAGTATTACACTTAGATAACGAGGTTTATCATACTGACATTCACAAGGAAAGTTATATTACATAGTGTCGACCATGTCCGTAATTGTCAACTCATATCATCACTGCTCATAGAAGCCACAACTTGGCGAACACTGATACTTGCATAATACACATTTTAGTTCACTGCCAGATTAACTGATGTGTTCTCAAGGTAAAATTATGACTCTGCATCATTGACTTTGATGCCTCATAGGTTTTCAATATGGATGGAAGAAGGTTCATCAAGTCCTTGTTTGCAAGTGAGAAAGCTTTGTCCATCACACAGGTTGTTCTGAATTTGCCAAATGATGCTGCTGAATTTTTAGGTATGTTATTACTGTTATTAAAGTAATGGGGAAAGGTTTCCATACGATACATGCATGTTTCTGTACTATGAGTGTAATTTTTATTAATTCTTATCTCCGACAGATGCATTTAGGGGAATATATGGAGATAAACCCAAGGGAATGATGCACGCCCTACCTGTGATCCATGTGTATGGATTCTCAAAAGCTCGAGATCCTGAGTTTGACTTTCATGAGGTGGGTGCCTCTCAGATATCTCCCTTACAGTTGCCTTGCAATAGGGCAAGCTGCACACGTCTTTTCTCGTTGCTTGCTATTTTGTCCATCTGTTGTTCTCTTTTTTGATGATTCTTTTCCTTTTTGGTTTCTTAATGTGAATGCAGAGGATAAGAATTGCCTTATCGGAGGTGGCAGTTCAAGTAGAAATGCGTAGGGTTCGCCTTGTTGCGCCGGGTAAATGGATGTTGTGTGCGATGTTTACCCTTCCTCAGAGTGTAGCATTTGCGAGAACAATGAAATTCAAAGATCGAAATTTAGACTGAGAAGCTGAAAGTTCTCACTGCATGTCACTTCTTTCAAGGGTAAATATTATAAATGTATATAACACCCACATACTTACACATTGGATTGTGAGTCCCCCCAAAGGAAGGTAAGCTTTGTTGCGGATAACATGCGAACAAAGTATATCGAGGTTTCTTGGTCTTGGCCAGCCAAGATCTGGAAGGAAGTCCAGTAAACTAAGGTTGCTTTTGGATGGCTTTGCCAATGAATTCAGCACCTTGTTATTCACTCCCCTACTTTGTTAAAGGGGCTGTCAAAGGTTATACCCACCGATGTATCGGGCATGAGGTATATCGGAAGCCAAGATGTTTATGTTGAAAATTGTACTTACCGGTGCTTTGGATGGGCATCACTACAAATTTGTCTTGTTTTATATCTACTCGTTGCATTTAATCAAAGTTTGTCTACGCCCCTACAATGGCATGTATTGTCATGGCTATTGAATCTCTTGTCCAACGAAATACTTAAATATCTTGCATATGCGGGTGTTTGCCTTTGCCTTACATATCACAACTTGGATAAAGCAGGGCATTTATGGCATGGCCTCTCGCAAACTTAAGCATCTTCGATCTCTTTTCACCTGTATGTACTGTGGGAAGATCCGGGGTCTACGCATCAGATGCTGCGCGCTCCATGGATATCTCGTACGGTGTCCTAACTTCTCCAGTGGAACACTGCTCTTGATGGTTATTGTGTCCCCTGCTGATTAATCTGCTCGAAGCTTCAACTTCATGTCCCTAGAAAAAGCCTCGATGTGTCTGAAAATTTTGAAGCTCCGCATGGAAATAGGATCGAGAGAGTTGCTATTTGGTCATATGTGGTAACAAGATCCCACTAGCATATGCATGGGCCGTGGACGTCTTTGAGAGATTTGCCGAGCAATCCTTGTCATTTCGTTTGATTCACCGACTTATTAATGTCAAATCGTGAATCCAAGTTTGGAAGGGTGCATTAAAGACGAAGAGTGTTATCCTAGAAAAAGAGAGTGAAAAGTGTCTAATGCGGGTTCCAAGAAGTAGAAGAAAACAAAGAACAAGGGAAAAAAAAGATGGAAAGAAAGAAAAACGTGAACGGCAGGATTCGAACCTGCGCGGGCAGAGCCCACATGATTTCTAGTCATGCCCGATAACCACTCCGGCACGTCCACACCCGTTTGATATAATTTGCTCTAAATTTATTAAAATATAAAAAATTATGGTTAAATACGTAATTTTCCGTAGTGTATCCGTTGGTTTCTCATTGTCACTAGAAGAAAAGTCTATCGGCTGCCAAGACTTGAACATGCAGGTCTTTGGACGTCTCTCACTCGAAGGCCAAATAATATTTGCAGGGACGTAATATTATAGAGTGTGCATTTATTGACTTGGCACGGGTGCCATGACTTAGGACTTACGAATTCTTGGATCCATCATTCATCTCTTTCCATGGAATTGTCACCAGAAGAAAAATCCTCTGTGCATCTTTGGCAATACCCGACTATGAAGCTGATCCTCCTGTCCTCGTGGATGTTCTCGTGTCATTGCATTCAATTCTCTGTTGTTCTTGCTGCTGCAGCAAGCACGATTTCAGCGGGACAGAGTCTCACCAAGCCAGACACTCTAGTATCTTCTGGTGGGGTATTTGAGTTGGGTTTCTTTTTCCCGGGAAATTCTTCTTACACATACCTTGGAATATGGTACAAGAAGATTGAGGAAAGAACCGTTGTCTGGGTGGGTAACCGAGATCAGCCTCTCACCACCTCCGCTCCTTCTCTTGCCATAGACCGAGCTAATCTGGTGATCCTGGATGGCAGAATAACCTACCAGGTGAGCAATAATTCCGTCAGTGGAAACGTCAGCGCAGCGCTGTTGGATTCGGGAAATTTTGTATTGAGGGAGGATGGCTCGGAAGCAATTCTGTGGCAGAGTTTTGATGAACCTTCTCATACTTTTCTGCCTGGAATGAAGGTTGGATACAGCAGAAAGACTGGAAAGGTATGGGCGCTGACTTCGTGGAAAAGTGCCGTGGACCCTAGCCCTGGCGATTCCTCCCTGATGATAGATTCCGAAAGCCCAGATGAGTTTGTTATTGTGAAAGGTAGTGAGAAATATTGGACTAGTGGGCCTTGGGATAGAGATGCACAAACGTTTTCTCTTGTTCCTGAGATGAGATTAAACTACATTTTCAATTACAGCTTCATTAGCAATCCCAATGAGGTCTATTTCACATATTCGCTTTATAGTTCGTTTAGAAATACAAGTACAAATTTAGTTATGGACCTGTCTGGACAGATTAGACAACAAACCTGGCTAGAGACTAATAAGGCATGGAATCTGTTTTGGGCTCAGCCACGGGACAATTGTGATGTCTACAGGGTCTGTGGCTCATTCAGCAGATGCAGCTCCAGAACTGATAATTATTGTGGTTGCTTGGATGGATTTAAACCCTCAGATCCAGAGAAGTGGCAACAGCATGATACATCTGCAGGGTGTGTGAGGAGAACACCGTTGCAGTGTGAGCAAATGGGATATGGAAATGGTGATAAGGACGGGTTCCTCAGGATGGACAATGTGAGATTTCCGCTGTATTACAATACCTCGAACAGAATATCCACTGAAGCATGTATATCAGCCTGCTCAGGTGATTGTTCTTGCACAGCATATGCTTATGATGGCAGTGCCACTGGTGCTGGCACTGGCAGGTGTTTCCTGTGGCACGGAGACCTCTTAAATCTAAAGCAGCCGTCTGAAGATGATCTTGACAGTAATACAATATACATCAAACTTGCCGCTTACGAGCTCCCAAAAAAGAAGCTGCAAAACTCCCAAGGTAGAAGCATTATTCAATCCTGTTGATATATTATTTTACTTTTCTGCAGAAGACTTCCACTTTCTCCAAATGCATGTTTTCAGGGATTAACAAAACACTAAAGATAGCCCTAGCTTCTGTTGTTCCTCTCGTTGCCCTCGTCCTAACCACCTACATCTGTTGCCGATGGAAAAAGGAACAGAAGGGCAAGTTCTCTGATCCTTTTTTCCCTTTTTATTTTTTTGGGGTCTCTCAAGGTGCAAAATGCAGTATGTGGCTTTGATGAACAGGTAAAATGGGACCGACTCAGGACATTTTACTGTTTGATGTGGACATGAGCATTGCTGCTCGTACAGATGAAACTTCTCAAAAAGGAATTGGAAATGAAAAGAACGCAAAGGATGCTTGGTTGCCTTTGTTTAGCTTTTCAAGTGTAACTTCTGCGACACAAAACTTCTCAAATTCAAACAAGCTTGGAGAGGGAGGTTTTGGACCAGTTTACATGGTAGCGAGTTTTATCCTCTTGCAAATTCCATTTCGACACAGCAAGTTCACATTACTAAAGCCTATTCATGTGAATCCTCTCCAGGGTAAATTACTGAACGGGAAACATGTAGCAGTGAAGAGACTCTCCAAGAAGTCTGCTCAAGGGATGTTAGAGTTGAGAAATGAAACAATGCTTATAGCCAAGCTACAACACAAGAACCTTGTTAGACTCCTGGGCTGCTGCTTGGAGCGAGATGAAAAGATTCTAATCTACGAAGACATGCCCAACAAAAGCTTAGATTCCTTCCTCTTTGGTGGGCTGTTTTGCTTCTCTCAGGAATATGCGTTTATGAGTCAATTTAACTTTCTATGCTAATTCATTCAGAATAATGTCTTAGTAATATACAATTGGAACAGATCAAGCAAAACGACTTCTCCTAAATTGGGAAAAGCGTGGACACATTATTGAAGGAATCGCTCAAGGGCTTATTTATCTTCATCAACACTCCAGATTGCGCATTGTCCACAGAGACCTCAAGGCTAGCAACATTCTATTGGATAGTGATATGAACCCCAAGATATCTGATTTCGGCCTAGCAAAGATGTTCAGCGGAAATGAGTCCGAGGCAAACACAAATCGAATTGTAGGGACATAGTAAGTGCAATATTTACCTAACTAAGCATTTATAGACCTGTCATTGACTATACATGTTTTGCAAAGCAAGTTGCTCTTGGGGTGCTCTATGGAATCTCTTGTGGTAATTAAAGAACCTGACCCCAATTGATTGATATGTAGTGGTTATATGTCTCCGGAGTATGCCTTGGAGGGAGTGGTCTCCATAAAGTCGGATGTGTTTAGCTTCGGAGTGCTGCTTCTGGAGATAATAAGCGGCAAAAAGAATACTGGCTTTTATCAGACTGATTCAATGAATCTTCTTGGATACGTAAGAAGCTTTGCACTTGTACAAAAAGAAAGAAGCATCTTTACACTTTAATCTTTGTCCTTTTTTGCTCCTCTAGTTTGGCTATTGGATTCGGATCAGCTTCCTTTTTTGTTTCATCACAACGTAGCTCTTACTTAGCATTGTTTTGACAAGATTAACACATCCCCGTCTCTTGCTTTTCAGGCTTGGCAACTGTGGCAAGAAGACAGAGCTCTCTGCTTGGTGGATTTGGTGTTAGAACATAGCGAATCGTATAGTACGCTGATGAGACATATTAATGTGGCTCTTCTGTGCGTTCAAGAGATTGCAGCTGATAGGCCAACTATGTCAGAAGTATTGAAGATGCTTACGAATGAGCTTTTAATTCTACCTTCTCCAAAGCAGCCAGCTTTCTCACATATAAGGACTAAGAAAATCCCAGAAGCGCCTCTTTACAGATCTGATCACAATTCAGTAAATGATGTTACGGTCTCTTTAATGGAAGCTCGATAGCTTTTCAGACATGAGAGTCATCTTGTTTCATGTGATTCTTCGCTGAAGGGCTGCACTTGTGATTTGCAAGTGCAAAAGAAAAAAGATTTAAGCTGTATTGCGTAATTGAATTAAGGTGGAATTTGTCTTCATCAAGAAACAGGAAGTTTTTTTTTTTTATCGAAAAGAAACAGGAAGTTGATATGAGCTCAATTGAGTTACGGTTGATTATGATCATTATAAAAATAATAGAGCTGGAGCTTTCTATTGTCATGTGGCACTTCACGCTTTTTTGTGTTCTGAAATCTCAACATGGCCATTTAGCCCCCATGTGTCTTCGAATGTCGCAATGGAGACCTGAGTAGTATTGCAAGCAATGATCTAACCTCACATATATAGGCATTTTGACTTGAGATGCCACAACTTGCAAGGACCTCAATTAATCAGCCTTGATAGACAGTACCAACTTATAGCAGCAACACTACTTCTGTTCCGAAGGAACAGGGGAAACACAATTACAACTGTTCAAAGGGGTTTGTTATGTGCTCGTTCTCTCTCAAATGAAATGCTTATTTACATTGAAACTGCGAATAAATCTCTTCCAGTCTGTGAATGTCAACTATTTAATTGCAAGATCACTGGAAGTATAGCTGTGATCAAAACAACTAAGCATTTTGATGAATGGAGCCTTCGAATTTTCTAGTAACTGTCATTGCATTGTTTGGAGGAAGGTCCTGCTTGTTCGATGAGTATTCCATGTCAGACAGATCTCTTTTATTGAAGAAGCCGGGCTCTTTAGGTGGAGGCAATGCTATGGCGCTACTCAACAGCAGAACTACTGTTGACATATTAGGCCCGTCGTCGGGACTTTGTTGCACACATAATAGAGTGACATGGATTGATCTTAGCACTTCTGATTTGTTCCACGAGTCTCCAATTGATTAATCAATCAGTTCACAAAATTTCATCTCCTAGGCCAGTCTCCATGTCTGGAGGGGGAAAAAACCAAAACAATATAAATGTATGCTGCGAAAATGACAGGAATTTGTATAACAGAGGGTTGGTCGGGTTATGAATATGTACATGGCCAAGTAGGTTATGCTTGTGATCAGGATGGCTGAATTTTCTGTTTCGCCTCCCACTTACAATCTCTAGCACCAATACACTGAAGCTGAATCGATCGGATTTTATAGAGAACAGGCCATCGATTGCATACACTGGAGACATGTAACCACTGCTTTATGCATTCGAGTTGATTCACAATTTTTGTACGCTGTAAGTCAAAAGAAATTTTTTTTACAAGCACAAGTTCTTACTATGTCCCGACAACTCGGTTAGTATTTCCTTCACTTTCATCTGCTCCAAAACCTTTAGCCATGCCAAAATCTGAGATGTTTGTGTTCATCTCGTGATCTAGTAGGATGTTGCTAGCTTTCAGATCTCTATGGATGATCCTCAATCTGGAATCTTGGTGAAGATATAACAACCCCTGGGCAATTGCATTTATAATCTGAACTCGCTTCTGCCATTCCAATGATGTCCTTCGCTTTTGATCAGCACATGTTTTCTCATGCAAGTCAGTCAGTTGTGCTGCCAGTGGAAATTGTGCACTTCTAGTATGACGCTAGCCTTCTAGACAGAAATCTAGGAGCTAAATTTGGTGATGGACATGTCAGAGGTTTATCACTAATAAGCCTGTCTGAGCTTACATAGGCCTCATCAAGTTTGAGTTTCTAAAGGTTTTAAGGAGCCTACCAAATATGAAGTAATCCAAGCTTTTGTTTGGCATGTACTCATAATCAGCATCCTTTCTTCTTCTTGAATGCAGCAAGCATTACCAGGTTCTGGTGCTGAAGTTTCGATATACATAGTACTTTATTCTTGAAATTTTCGAGTCCATGTCGAGAACTTTTTGAAAGCCTCTTCCCTTCTATTTCTTTTCCATATTCCAATATACCCCGCAATATTTTGGCAAAATTTTGCGGTTTGATCTACCTTAGTAATTTTCTTAAGCGATAAAAAGCATCCATACATGCTAGGTAGTCTTTTGGTATAAATCATGTTAATACCTTTTAGACTGGTCCAAAGCCTCACTGTCCCGGCTTATTGGGACATGAGAATAAGAATGCAGAATGTTTTCCTTAAATAACAAGAATTCAGTTGATTCTATGGAAAGATACTTCCGGTTCAAGTCTTTCTTGAGACAAAAAAGTCTAGGTTGAAAGTTTTCTTTTTCTTTCCAAAATTCATGAACGAAAGATGTATAAGTAGTCTGTTATTCATGCAGATAGCGCAGAGATACTCTCAAACTACTGCAGAAGAAAACTAATTCCTTCTATTTGGTTCCAAGCGACACTCATGTGGCGACAGTGTAAGTGAAAAATCATTAAAACACATTCACACGAGCCAAAACTTACTGGAATCTTAAAAAATTCTAACCTTCTCTGCTTTTCCTCTTCTTCCTCTTTTTCTTTAAGATATTCAAGACCAGGCATAGGCCAATGAGGAGTAATCCTCAATATAATACCGGGATAACTATGATCTAAGCTCGTCTTTTCCCTTTTGAGCTTCTATATGCCGCTGCATAGTGACCACAAATCCAGATCAATCAGCATCAGACATCAAACTCAGAAATGGATTAGCAGCGAAATGATTTACAATGTTAATACATGCATTTACAAAGGATAATTATCATAAGCACCAGAGGCTCGAGTCTTCTAGTAAGACAAAGGAATCCTTACCTAATTCAGAGGCAGCCAGCCTCATGTAAATATATTGCCCATTGTCAGCATAATCTCTGATATCTATCAGGTCACCGAACCAAAGTATGCAGCCGGTGCTGCCACCACTAATGTCCATGTTCGAATACGCAGTGCAAGGGCAGTTTTTCAATCAGACCTTCTCGCATTCTTCAAGATTCATTGTCTTTGTTATACCATGAATGCTGTGTGTCTGGCAACTTCGTGCCCGGGTATTTCAAAAACCCTTCTCCTTGCCGGCAATCCAGCGGCGTCTTCCTCACGCACCCACCCGACCAGTCCAACATTGTCCAATACTGAGGATATTTCGTCACAGATCCTTCAAGCATCCACAGGCAGGGGAATTATTAACGTCGCAACTTCCATAAGCACTACACAGTGAGGACCCATCACAATTATTTATCTGAGCTGTCAAATGGAGTTTTAGACATAAATTGTTATTCATAATATAATATGTTTCATTTGATTAATTATTATAAGGATATAAGCGATCATTTTAGGAAACTATTTTCTAAAATCATTTTGAGAGCCCAAATGATATTCCTAGGACATAATTTTGTGTAGTGCTGATTTGTCATCAGAAGAAAAGTCATCGGGTGCCAAGACTTGGGACTTGCAAGTCTTTGGACGTCTCTCGCGAAGGCTAATTGATATTCGTCGGATGTGTAGGGCATCCATTGATTTGTCACCAGAAGAAAAGTCAACATCGGGTGCCAAAATTTGACTCGCAAGTCTTTGCGCGTCTCCCTCCTATCAGTCATCACTTTCCATGGAATTGTCAGTAGAAAAGAAAGTCCTCTTAGTTTCTTTGGCAATACCCGAAACGTTATCAGCCTGAACTGCAAGTAGTTCAATGGATTCACCATGCAACATGAATATGCCTACTACGAAACTGATCCTCCTGTCCTTGTTGATGTTCTCGTGCCATTGCATTCGATTCTCTGTTGTTCTTGCTGCTGCAACGAGCACAATTTCGACGGGACAGAGTCTCACCAGGTTAGACACTCTAGTATCTTCTGGTGGGGTATTTGAGTTGGGTTTCTTTTCCCCAGGAAATTCTTCTCATACATACCTCGGAATATGGTACAAGAAGATTGAGGAAAGAACCCATGTCTGGGTGGGTAACAGAGATCAGCCTCCCACCACCTCCGCTCCTGCTCTTGCAATAGACCGAGCCAATCTTGTGATCCTGGATGGCAGAATAACCTACCAGGTGAGCGATAATTCCGTCAGTGGGAGCATCAGCGCGACCCTGTTGGATTCGGGAAATCTTGTATCGAGGGAGGAGAGCTCGGAAGCAATTCTGTGGCAGAGTTTTGATTATCCTTCCGATACTTTTCTGCCTGGAATGAATCTTGGATACAGTAGAACTGCTGGAAAGGTATGGGCGCTCACGTCGTGGAAGAACGCCACGGACCCTAGCCCAGGAGATTTCTCCCTGAGAATAGATTCCCAAAGCCCGGATGAGTTTGTTATCCTGAAAGGTGGTGAGAAATACTGGACTAGTGGGCTTTGGGATAGAGATTCACATAAATTCTCTCTTGTTCCTGAGATGACATTCAACAACATTTTCAATTTCAGCTTTATTAGCAATCGGAATGAGAGTTATTTAAAATATTTGCTTAATACTTCGGTTGCTAATACAAGTACAAGATTAGTTATGCACCTGTCTGGACAGGTTAGACAAACTACCTGGCTAGAGACGTCGAAGCATTGGGGTCTGTTTTGGAGTCAACCAAGGGACGAATGTGATGTCTTCATGTTCTGCGGTTCATTCAGCAGATGCAACAACAGAACTGTTCCTTCTTCTTGTGACTGCTTGGATTTAGGCCCTCAGATGCGGAGAAGTCGCCACAATATGATAAAACTACAGGGTGTGCGAGGAGAATGCCATTGCAGTGTGAAGAAATGGGATATGGAAATGGTGACAAGGATGGATTCCTCAAGATTGACCATGTGACATTTCCACTCTATTACAATACCTTGGAAAGAATATCCACTGAAGCATGTAAATCAGCCTGCTCAGGTGATTGTTCTTGCACTGCATATGCTTATAATGGCAGTGGCAGTGGCAGGTGTTTGCTTTGGCACGGAGACCTCTTAAATCTAAGGCAGCTATCTTAAGATGATCCTGACAGTAAAACAATATACATCAAACTTGCCGCTTATGAGCTCCAAAACTCCCGAGGTAGAAGCATTATTCAAATTTTGTTGATATAGTATGTTACTTTTCTGCAGAAGACTTACTACTTCCTTCAAATGCAAGTTTTCAGGGATTAACAAAACACTAAAGATAGCCCTAGCTTCTGTTGTTCCTCTTGTTGCTCTAGTCCTAAGCACCTACATCTGTGTTGCCGATGGAAAAAGAAACAGAAGGGCAAGTCCTCTGGTCCTTTTTTCCCTTTTTACTGTGTTGTGGCCTCTCAAGGTATAAAAGGCATTATGTGGCTTTTATGAACAGGTAAAATGGGACCGACTCGGGACATTTTACTGTTCGATGTGGACATGAGCATTGCTGCTAGTACTGATGGAACTTCGCAAAAAGGAATTGGAAATGAAAAGAAATCGGAGGATGCTTGGTTGCCTTTGTTTAGCTTTTCAAGTGTAACAGCTGCGACAGAAAACTTCTCAAATTCGAACAAGCTTGGAGAAGGAGGTTTTGGACCAGTTTACAAGGTAGTAACTTTTATTGTCTCGCAAATTCCATTTCAAAATTGCTAGTTCTCATTACTAAAGCCTATGCAAGTGAATTCTCTTCAGGGTAAATTACTGAACGGGAAACATGTAGCAGTGAAGAGGCTCTCCAAGAAGTCTGCTCAAGGAATGTTAGAGTTGAGAAATGAAACAATGCTCATAGCCAAGCTGCAACACAAGAACCTTGTTAGACTCCTGGGCTGCTGCTTAGAGCGAGATAAAAAGATTCTAATCTACGAATACATGCCCAACAAAAGCTTAGATTCCTTCCTCTTCGGTGAGCTGTTTAGCTCCCCTCAGGATTATTCATCATGACTTAATTTACGTTTTATGTCGTTTCATTCAAAATTACAAGTCTTAGTAATATCAAATCGAAACAGATCAAGCCAAACGACATCTCCTAAATTGGGAAACACGTGCACACATTGTTGAAGGAATCGCTCAAGGGCTTATTTATCTTCATCAACACTCCAGATTGCGCATTGTCCACAGAGACCTCAAGGCTAGCAACATTCTGTTGGATAGTGATATGAACCCCAAGATATCTGATTTTGGCCTAGCAAAGATGTTCGGTGGAAATGAGTCTGAGGCAAACACAAATCGAATTGTAGGGACATAGTAAGTGCAATACTTCCCTAACTAGGCATTTATAGACCTGTCATTGACTATACATGTTTTGCATTGTTTTGGGTTGCTCTATAGAATCTCTTGTGGTAATCAAAGAACCTGACCCCATTGATTGATATCTAGTGGCTATATGTCTCCGGAGTATGCCTTGGAGGGAGTCGTCTCGATAAAGTCAGATGTGTCTAGCTTCGGAGTGCTGCTTCTGGAGATAATAAGTGGCAAAAAGAATACTGGCTTTTATCAGACTGATTGAATGAATCTTCTTGGATATGTAAGAAGCTTTGCGCTCGTACAAAAAGAAAGAAGCATCTTTGTGCTTTTATCTTTATCCTTTTTTGGCTCCTCTACTTTGGTTATTCCACAAGGTGTTGCTTAGCATTGTATTGACAACATAACACATCCCCGGCTCTTGCTTTTCAGGCTTGGCAACTGTGGCAAGAAGACAGAGCTTTCTGCTTGGTGGATTTGGTGTTGGAACATCGCGAATCGGATGGCACAGTGATGAGACATATTAATGTGGCTCTTCTCTGTGTTCAAGAGATTGCAGCTGATAGGCCAACTATGTCAGGAGTATTGACGATGCTCACGAATGAGCTTTTAATTCTACCTTCTCCAAAGCAGCCAGCTTTCTCTTATATACGGACTAAGAAAATCCCAGAAACGCCTCGTTACAGACCTGATCTCGATTCACTAAATGATGTTACGGTCTCTGCAATGGAAGCTCGATAGCTTTCAGACACGAGGTTCAATTTGTTTCTTGTGATTCTTCGCTGAAAATCTGCACTAGTGATTTGTAAGTGCAAAAGAAACAATGTTTGAGCTTCATTGCATAATTGAGTTATGATCGAATTTGTCCTCATCAAGAAATAGGAAGCTCGATACGAGCTCAGTGGAGTTATGGTTGATTATGATCGTTATAAAACAATAGAGCTGGAGCTTTATTGTCATGTGGCTCTTACAAGCTTTTTTGCATCTTGAAATCTCCATTTTGGCCATTTAAATCCTCACATGTCCTCGTAATGTTGCAATGGAGAGTTTAGTAGTATTGCAAGCAGTGTTCTAACCCGACAATGTCACACCCCAAATCCTAAGGGAATAGGGGTAGTGACACGGCCATCAATCTTTTCACCCAAATGACGCAACCTCAATCCATAAAAAAAAAAAATCTAACTTTCAAAAGCCCCTGTTGTTATCGCCCTCTCTACTGGCTGTTGACTAAGGAGCATGAAAAGATTTGGAAGGAAAGGGAGATGAGCAACCATAGCTCAGGGAGCAGTGCTTCTCTTCTAAACAGATCGAGCACTCACTATTCATATTTACCTTCATATTTACCAAGTTATATCAGAAACTCATAACCCAAACCCAAGATATAACATATATATATCAAATCAAATATAAGTTGTTTAATTTCAACAAACCTTTATACAGCTCAGAAATACTCGTTAAAACCACCATAACTATTCAAACATCAATGGTCAAGCCCATTAATTAATCTCTATCAAATCATAAGTTAATGGTCAATTCCATTAACTAATCTCAAATCTAAAATCATATGTTAATAGTCTATTCTATTGACCAAACTCATGCTCAAATATCTAATCATGCTTGCGCATTGTAAAATATGAGATTTGACTAAGTCAAAAAGGGAAAAAAAGAAAAAAAGAAAAGAAAAGGTGGGATGTTCAGTTTATAAAGGGGAAAAGAAAAGCTACGGGGAGAGAAAAACGCATGACCAAGAAAGAAGAAAATAGAGGAAAAGAAGAAAGAAAAGAAAAACAGAAGAAAAAATATTAAAGAAAGAAGAGGGATTTTGCATACACACTGCAGATGCTTCGTCGAGTTGGATCAACTACGTAGCGTAGCGCTCGGTAAGTGCTTGCGCCCTTTGTTCATTCAATCGGAGTAGTTTTCAGAGTTAGATCGTAAGGTTTGTAACGGTGGATTATGGCGTTGTGGAGCCATGGGTTTAATGGGAATCAGTTTAGAGCAACGGCTTGGTCAGAGTGACGATTTTAGGGTTTCGCATGTGAGTTTCGTGTTGTGTTTAGGCTTGAGTAATCACTTCGAGTGAGCACGTTGTTTGGTTTTTGGGTA